ACTCCGACGGATCATCTCACCTTTAGGCAAGTTCAGCCGTCCTCTTTCTGCAGGTTCTTTGTGTCCAGTTCATATAACAGTCCAGGCAAGAGCAGTTTTTTTGCCCAAATGGCTGGCAAACTCCATAAGGAGCCTCTTCGATGCCCATCTTCCTCTTGAAGTAGATTGGTGCTGCCAGGAGCAGACGTGTCTCATTGTCATGAAAAGCCCTAAGTTATTAAAATATCTTAAATGCCATGTTCTGTAGTCTTTGAAAGATATGAAGAATGTCTATTTAATTGAAATATATCTCTACATATCTAGAAAATCTAATTAACATGACTATAAGCTTGACTATTATTGATGATATTTTGGGGCTGTCCAAACTAAACTGCTCAAGGTGTGATTTACAGGCACTGTTTATATTAGCTGTAACATTGAAGCTGGGCCTTGTGCTCCTTCCACAAGCTGCACACAAGAATAGCAATATGATTCTGTGGTCTTTTGGCTTCTGCAACTGTCCAATGTCAAGTCCATGCATCTCCCCTGTTTCCTCCCTATAGTTCCTAAATGTTCTTGTTTGGATCCATGTTGGCTTACCTCATGGCTGCCACCAAACAGAGGGGAAGGAACCTTTCCCCATATCCCCTTATGGGTTATATTGCTTGTGATTTATTATCTTGGTTTGTCATGTGGAAGGAGGGTTTTTTTTTAAAGATCTATTTAAAAAAAACAAAGAAAACAATCTTTTTTCATTATTAATACCAATCCAAGTTCCCACTCCCTCCCCTCCTCCCATCCCCTCCACATACCCTCCCAGCCCACCCCCAGCCACTCCTCAGAGAGGGTAAGGCACATTGCTTTAGGGAAAGTCCAAGGCCCTCCCTACTACATCAAGGCTGAGCAAAGTATCCATCCAAAGAAAATAGGTTCCCAAATAGCCAGTACAAGCAATAGGAATAAATACTGGTGCCACTGCCAGTGGCCCCTCAGTCTGCCCCAGTCATGCAACTGCCAACCACACTCAGAGGGACTAGTTTCGTCCTATGCTTGTTTCTTCCCAGTCCAGCTGATGGTGAGCTCCTATTAGCTGTAGGAATTCCTACAGCCAGTAGCCTTTAAGTTACCCTCCCACTTGGGCGTGGCCTCATATACTATTTATGCTGATGTAAAGTATGCGTCCATCTCTCTTTTCCGGCCGCTGGATTCAGTTGCTGTTCTCTGTTGGAGCAGAGGATTTGATCTATGAGTCTACCCCTAAATAAAAAATTTTATTATACTCAATTCTGAGCTAGTGTGGGATTTTTTTTTTTAGTGTCTCTCTTCTCCCATTAGCTCATGTAGACTGTTCAGTGGGTGAACCCATCATGGCCGTGACCTCTTTGCTCATAGTCTCACTCCTCCCACTCTTCAGCTGGACTTTGGGAGCTCAGCCCAGTGCTCTGATGCGGGTCTCTGCCTCTGTCTCCATCAGTTGTTGGATGAAGGTTCTATGGTGATATTTTTAAGATATTCATCAGTCGGACTACAGGGCAAGTCCAGTTCAGGCACCCTCTCCTCTACTGTTCAGGGTCTTAGCTCGGGTCATCCTTGTGGATTCCTGGGAATTTCTCTAGAGCCAGGTTTCTTACTAACCCCATAATGGTTCCCTCAATCAAGATTTCTCTTTCCTAGGTTTATTGTGTATATGGTGCTCTGTCTGCATGTGTGCCTGCACCCAGGAGAGGGCATCATAAGTGGCTTCTGGGAATTGAACTCGGGACCTCTGGAAGAGCAGTCTCTCCAGTCCTGTGGAAGGAGTTTTACAGGTCCCAGCAGAGGGCATCATATGTGGCTGCTGGGAATTGAACTCGGGACCTCTGGAAGAGCAGTCTCTCCAGTCCTGTGGAAGGAGTTTTACAGGTCCAGGACATGGTTATCTTTCCTAGTAACCCTCCCTCCACAGGCAGGAGAGCAGACTGGCAGCCCACTAGTGAGCTGTGTCAGTGTGTATGTCTGCACGTGTGTGTCCCTTCTGCTTTGTGAAGTGAATCCTGAGTGGCTGGCCGTTGATTTCGCTTCATGGAATTCTTATCGCCGCTCCTTCTCTGCACCACACTGTGCTAGGCGTAACTGTCTGACTCTGGATTTAGGCTCTGACACCTGCCCCCATTAAATTGGTTTTCCAATATTTTATGTGTGTGTGTGTGTGTGTGTGTGTGTGTGATATAAAATTATATTTCTGTGGGGTGAGAACTACATTAGGAACAAGCTAGGCAAAGCAAAGATACAGCTACTTGGGAGAAAATGAGAAGACTGCATGGGAAACCAGAGCAGAACAAAAGCAAGGGGCCAAGGTCTCCATCTCTATCCACCTAGTGACATGGTGGGGACTTTATTTTCAGCCCCTGGTTTTACAGGCCCTTGTTCTCTCTCTGAATTCATTGCAGAGCCCTGTAAAGTCAGCAGATCTTGATTTAAAGTCAGGGACTATCAACTGTGGGACATGGTGGCACACACTCTTAATACTAGCACTGGAGAAGCAGAAACAGGTGGATGTCTATGAATTTTAGGCCAGTCTGTCTACACACAGAGACTGTCGAGAAAGAAGGGAGGAAGAAAGAAAGGATGGGAGGATAGGAGGGAGGGAAGAAGAAAGGAAGGAAGGGAAGAAGGAAGGAAGAATGGGAGGGAGGGAGGGAGGGAGGGAGGAAAGAAAGAAAGAAAGAAAGAAAGAAAGAAAGAAAGAAGGAAAGAAGTAAGGACATCTTTGAAATAAAGCAGAACCTTTATGAGAGAACATATTTAGGTGAAAAACTCAGTATTTCTGATTTCTCTACTTTTGGGTAGAAGTTAAACCAAAAATGAACTCCCGCTTAAAAACACATGCAGAGTCCCGCCTGCATCTGACATCTCTGTCTCTTCATTGCCCTGTTTTTAACAATAGTTCTTAATGGTTCAAGAATTTTAGTTTTTTTCTGAGGAACTCACAGTCTAAGAAAAACAGACAAACATTTAATGGCTGTAACAAAACATGAACGATGATGCTGAGGTGTTGAGATAGATTTCAGAAATCTTGTTAAAAAATGGTCTCCCATAGGCAGCAAAGAATGTGTGTGACTGAACATACAGAAACAACCCATGTTAGACAGCCTATCCAAAAAAGAGTGTCATTGGCCAAGAAGTAAACAGTAAGGAGATTTGGTTTTAGAGCAAGAGTTTTCTCTTATTTTCTGAACTTTAACAATGCATGAGGTATTTTCATTAATGATCAGGAATTTCCCCCTAACCAACTATTTTAGTTTAAACCAAACAAAAGTTGTAGTGCCCCTTTAAGGAGAAGTTGTAAAATGGAGATCTCGAAAGAAATGAAGAAAGATTGTGGAAGTCAATCTCCAGGCTCTGAGTCACAGAGTGACAGGAATATACATGATTCCATCTGTATCTCCAGGAGACTTGGGCCCACATCATTTTGCACACATGACCAATCGCCAGAATTGCCCTGGTTTCAGGTGATGACAAACCAAGTATTTAAACATCAAGCAGAATTCAAGGTCAGAGAAAAATGTTTGGGCAAATCTGTCACTTGAAACTTCTCACCTGGAAGTGGAAACTGCCTGTCTCTAGGCACTTCTTTGCAGATCAACTCATATAATATGGGTAAAGAGCATAGTATAGTGCTTGATTTCAGAAAATGACATTATAGGCCATATTCATGTGTCTAATTGGACACAGATGTTTGCTTGTTCCCTTGATTTAGAAAGACGTTACGATCCCATTTGCCATTGTTTTGTCTGCAAACCTATACAGCTAAAAGCTGAGTGCATAGAATATGGTGTCAGAAAACCAGTGAGTAGGACTTTTTAACACAAGTTCCAAATGTGAACATATATATTGACGGTTACTTCCAAATGAGCTTTTTTTTTAATGACTCTCCTACTCTGTTCAGAAATTATGCAGACAAATTCCTCCTTAGGGCTCAAACTCTAGCAACTGACTAAAATCTAAGCGAAAGTTTCCTATTCTGTCTTTTTCCAGCTGGCTCCCGATTCCACCCCTAAAGACAATTGGGAAGCCGTCTGAGAAAAAGGCTGTCTCAAGTTCCCCTCCACAGTGCTCACTAAAGCTTTCCGTTATGTGGAATAAAGTCTAAAGAATGAAGAAGGTGTTTCTGAAAGGGTCTCAGTTCCTACAACCCCCAAGGCTCCACTAAGACCCAGTAAGTCAGCGAAACCACTAGTCCTCTGCTACCCTCTCCTTCATCCCTCGCCCCGCCCTCTGGTAACCTAGGTTACAGTCACGCCCTTCCTCTGTAGCTAACCAGTCATAAAGGCTGATGTTATCGGACTGGGTTTGCCTAGCTTGAAGGTCCCCGCCCGTCATTGGCTTTGAGTATCTGATCAGAAACAGAAATGGACTCATTTCTTTTTTTTATTTTTTAATTTATTTTATTTATTTATTAAAGAGCCTCCTCCCCGCCACGGCCTCACATTTCCCTCCCCCTCCCCCAATCAAGTCCCCCTCCCTTATCAGCCCGAAGAACAGTCAGGGTTCCCTGCCCTTTGGGAAGTCCAAGGACCTCCCACCTCTTCGAAGATGAGTTTCACTACTGTGGAAGTTCCAGAAGCGTGAGTGAGGAAGTAGCTAGCCACGCTTGGGGGTGGGGGTGGGTGCGGAAAATCACCTGCCAGAGCAGGGGGGGAGGGAGTTGCTGGCTTCCAGCTGCAGGTGGGACCATCCAGGTCACCCTGGCTGTCCTCGGGGGCCCTGGTGCAGCCGAGACTTTAGGCAAACCCCAGGTGAGCAGCGTCTGCTCCGTGGCCGATCGGGTGCATGCCGGTTAGCCGGCGAGGATGCAGCCCACACCTGCGAGCATCCCAAGCGGCTTCTGCTGTGGCAGCCACAACCACAGCGCAACCCGAGGACGCGGTGCCAGCGGCTGCTGAATTTTCCCCTGTAGAGAGCCGGAGGAGAAAAAAAACGAAGAAAACCCGCCAAAATCTCGGCTTGGTTCGTTTTTTGAGCTGGTCAAAACTAGTTTTTCTGTGAAAATGCCCTGCACCTGTAATCAGAACAACTGGAGGCGATGGATCCGGCCCCTGCTCGTACTTATTTACATAATTTCCATCCTCGTCTCAGTTTGCTTCGGTATTTGGGAACTTCAAAAACTAAAGGTAGGAGGGTCCAGCACCTCTACCCTTTCCTAAGCTCATGGGCAGAATCCCTTTGTCTGTCCTCTCATGCTTGGGGTCTGAAAAACATTTCGTCTTTGAACATACGGATCCGTCTGATTTCATTTGGCCGCTACAACTGGAAGTGGAACCGGGTGGAGAAAACAGTTAATGTTGCTGCTTAGAATGCTTTGCTGATACCCATCAATTCCCAGAGAATTCTTCTTGAAATCAGATCTGCTGTGCAGATATTGATCTTAACCAGATAAAATAAACTACCTTGAAAGCTACATTCTGGATTTTAGAAGCTCTTCCTGAAACGAAAGGATTCCCTTTAGTTTGACTTGCTAATTGTTTTTACGTTTGAAGTTACGTCTTTTGTTTCTTTCTCTAATGGGATAAAGTCTCACGTAGACCATGCTCTTTGGAATTTGCCTTTTAGCCTAGAGTAATCCTCCAAGCACATTCTCAGCGCTTCTGATTATTGAACGCTGGGGATGGAACCCAGGGCTGTGTGCATTTGGGGCAAGCAAGCATTCTCCCGTCTGAGCGACATTCCCAGACTTGAAGTTACTCCTCAGTAAGGGAGAAGTTTTACTAAAGTTCCTTGTCTATTCATTTCTTTTCTTTTCTTTCTTTCTTTCTCAATCAAGGGAAAAGTTTTACTAAAGTTCCTGTGTATTCATTTCTTCTTCCTTCCTTCCTCCCTTCCTTCCTCCTTCCCTCCCTCCCTCTCATCCTCCCTTTCTTCCTTCATTTCTTTTTTTTTTTTTTTTTTTTTTTTTTTTTTTTGGTTTTTCGAGACAGGGTTTCTCTGTGGTTTTGGAGCCTGTCCTGGAACTAGCTCTTGTAGACCAGGCTGGCCTCGAATTCACAGAGATCCGCCTGCTTCTGCCTCCCGAGTGCTGGGATTAAAGGCGTGCGCCACCACCGCCCCGCTTCTTTCTTTTCTTAAATGTATTTGCTGGCGTATTTGTGGGATGGCCCGGTTGTGGAGGTCAAAGGACAGGCAAGTTGGGGGAGTTGGTTCTCTCCTTCCTTCTTTTGAGTGCTGAGTGAGGGCGGAGCGCAAGGGATCAGTGCAGTGTTGGAGGCCAGCACCTTAGCGCAGCCATCTCTCTGACCCACCCTTCATTATGTGTTGATGTCATGCTGTGACATTAGTAAAGCATTGCAAGCTGGGTACCTAACATAGCCATAATATATGTATAAAGGGAACTTAGAATTATCGATTAATTAATTGATAACCAGAAAGTACTTTTATTGAGAAACACTTATTTTGGAAAAATTATGACATACCATGTAGATGACCCCCCCTTTGATTGTGGAAAATATTTTAGTTAAACAATATATCTAGACATATTTGTAGGGTGCTTTTGTTCACTAAACTTTTATTGGCTTCTCTTATAGTCCATATAGCTAGTTCAGGCTATTAAAATATGACATTAAGTATTTCTCATTTGTTAAGTTTTTAGGTTATTTGAAATTTGTTGTCCAAATTTGGGTATAGCAATCTTAATATAAATATAACTTCCTCATTTAGTAGTCCTTGGAATATAGTATAGGAAGGTGAGTGAAATGTGTACCATTTCTGCTTAAGACTTCTCTTAGTTGTGAGCTGCAGTTTCAAAGCCTCTAAACTTTCAGACCAATTCTGATCTGCAGTGTAAACTGCCAACACCCCAAGTCAATCCCTCAAGTTCTGATAGGGAGGTCTAATGGAGGGTGTGCAGGTGAGCCTGTCATACTGTACTGGATATGCAAGTCTAGACCTCAGAACCCCTTCAGCTGCAGATACTCGTCTTGTTTTGTCTGCTCTCTCTGCCCTAAGAAAATGCCATAAACTGGACTGTGAAGATGACTCAGCAGGTCACGCAATAGCCAGGAAAGCCTGACCCAGAGTTCCCCTCTATAGCCAACATGAACGATGTCTATGGCAAGAGGAAGGTAGACACATAGTTGCCTAGAAGCTTGCCAGCCGTCTGGCCTGGCGTATGCAGCACAGCAGCAGAAACAAGAGAGACCCTGGCTCACAAGGTGGAAGGAGAGGTGATTTCCCAGAGCTGTCCTCTGATGTGCACAAATGCATTCACCCCTTCCCCCACACTTGCACTCATACCTGCACACCTGTACCCACACCTGCACTCACACATGCACACCAGTACCCACACCTGCACTCACACATGCACACCTGCACTCACACATGCACACCTGTACCCACACCTGCACTCATACCTGCACACCTGTACCCACACCTGCACTCACACATGCACACCTGCACTCACACCTGCACACCTGTACCCACACCTGCACTCACGCCTGTACACCTGTACCCACACCTGCACTCATGCCTGCACACCTGTACCCACACCTGCACTCACACATGCACACCTGCACTCACGCCTGCACACCTGTACCCACACCTGCACTCACGCCTGCACACCTGTACCCACACCTGCACACATGCACACTTGTACCCACACCTGCACTTACACATGCACACCTGTACCCACACCTGCACCCACACCTGTACTCATACCTGCACACATGCACACCTACACTCACACATGCACACCTGCACTCATACATGCACACCTGTACCCACACCTGCACTCACACATGCACACCTGCACTCATACCTGCACACCTGCACTCACACATGCACACCTGCACTCATACCTGCACACCTGCACTCACACATGCACACCTGCACTCATACCTGCACACCTGCACTCACACATGCACACCTGTACCCACACTTGCACTCACACATGCACACCTGTACCCACACCTGCACTCACACATGCACACCTGCACTCCCGTCTGCACACCTGTACCCACACCTGCACTCATACCTGCACACCTGTACCCACACCTGCACTCACACTCGTGAAAGCACATGTTTATGAACTGAGTGCCTTCAACAGGAATTTATCTTTTCACAGTCCTGAAAACTATTTTGGAGTCAGATATCATGGGGGCCAGAGGGGTTGCTCTCTGGGGAGGGTGCTCTCAGGTCACAGGTGGCCATGCTTTGCTGAATCCTCAGGTTGTTGCCCGATCTCATGCAGTCACCAGCCCTGTGAGACTATGACCTCATTTTACCTAAGTCACTTCCCATCAGCCTTTGCACAAATATGGCCGTTGGCATTCGAGGTTAGGTTTCAGCCTCTGAAAGGGGAGCACACCTAGGTACTCCCCCAGGTGTACTCCTAGGTATGGTCAGACTTCAGTCAATGCCCGCAGTTAGAGAATGCTTTAGATCAAGGACGCAGAGAAGGAACAACGGCAAAGGACCTGGCACCAGTATTTCACAGGAAATTACAAAGAACAAAGGGAATGCCCGGGAAGGAGGGTTTTGGGGAACATTTTGGCTGGTGTCCACTGTCTCCACCCTGTCTCACCTTTCACAAGTAGAAAGGTCATTGGGAGCTCAGTGATTTCACTGCAGTTGAAGGACTAAAGGCAGAACAGAAATGTTTAAGTGGGAATGTGTGGTGGAAGCTTAGAATCCAGAGAATCTTTGACTTTTGAAGATTTGACTCTGAAGGGAACTGAGAAATGATAGCACCATGGGCAGAGAAGACTGAGATTACAAAAGCTTTGTTTTGTCTTTAAGGTTAGAGGTATTAGCTAGAGCATATCCTCAAGATCGCTCTCATTCAATCTGTAACTATGATTTTATTTAACCCTCTGAGAAATGCTGAGTACAGGAGATTCCCTCTGTGGACGAGGACACTGAGGCAGAGAGAAGTGCCCACAGCGCTGCCGTGCTGTGCCACGTGACTGCAGCGGTGGCTGTCGTGGCTCGTTTTTCCTGTCATGTGGTTTATGACTGCTCGAGATGGAACTTTCCTCCTAGCAGCACTCTGTGAGGACACTTGGTCTGCATCAGTCCTTGGCACACACGGTGCTGGTCCTCACTCAGACATGATTCCGTGGGCAAAGATAGTATGGGAATGTTTTGTTTTGTTCAAGGAGGGCTCTTTTGGTGTCTCACACCCCTCTAACTCCAGGTCCAAGGACTCTAGCGCCCTCTTCTGGCCTCAGCAGATGCCCACACATGCACATACCCACACACAGACCCAAACATTCGTAGAAGTTTTTAAAAAGTAAATCTTTTTAAAAAATTGTTACTAATTATTTTGGAAATGCCAAGCAGGATTAGAAATCAAATGAAAACATAAGAAATAAAAAATATTGATCTTTGTAGTTTTAATATCAGAATCTAAACTAATGTGTTCTTTTGTTTTTCAAGGCTGGAATGCACATACAACCATGGCTTATTGCTGGTGTCTTGATGCTGTTGACAATCCCTGTGTCCCTCTGGGGGATTGTGCACCACTTAGTGCATTTCACGCAACCAGAGCTTCAGAAGCCCATTATAAGGTCAAATCTTAATATATTTGCTACAACTAGTGTTGACTGACATAAATCATAAACATGATATTAAATGTTATTATATGTTTTACTTTCAATAGAATTCTTTGGATGGTTCCAATATACAGTTTGAGTAGCGTAAGTATATTTTATTGTATTGCATTAAGAACTTTTGGGCTGGAGAGATGGCTCATATCTCTCTCTCTCTCTCCCCCTCTCTCCATCTCTCTCTTTTTATTTTTGAGATAGGGTCTCACTGTATTTCTGGCTGTCCTGAAACTCACTCTGGAGACCAGATTGACCCTGAACTTACAGGGGGCTCCCAGTTTTTTGACAGGTTTCTGTGTCCCCTAGTCCTAGAGCTGTTCAGTCCCAAAGAAACACACAGAACTCTACATTAATTATGAACTGGTTGGCCTATTATCTCGGCCTTCTTATTAACTCATCCTTATATCTTACATTAGCTTGTAATTCTTGTCTGTGTTAGCCACATGGCTCAGTACTTCATATCAGTGAGGCAGTTTCATCTTATTTCCTCTGCAGCTGAGTGAGGACTGCAGACTGAATCTTTCCTCTTCCCAAAATTTTCCTGTTCCTGTCACCCCACTTATACTTCTGCTTTATTAAAATACGATTGACAGGGTGCAGACCATTGTCCCACAGCACCTGTCTGTCTCTCTAGTGCTTGGATTAAAGGCATATACCACTGCAACTGGCTAACTTACTTTTTTAAAATGTTGGTAAAGAAGATAATGTAATGAAAAATGAAGCTGTTTCAAATATTTCTAATGTGTAGCTCTTTTCCTGTGATTGTCTTAAAGACAGTTGTAGGCATATTGCAGGGATGCATCTCTCACCACTACTCTTTAATATATGCTTGAAATTAATAATAGTGACAGCCCTGGAGGCTGAGGAGATAGGGGTGCAGATAAGAGAACCCCCATGAGTTCAAGACCAGCCTGGTCTGTATAGTGAGTCCCAGAGTGCAGACCTGGGGTCAGGGGCTGTTACAGGTATCTGCTCCAGGGTTGGCAGATTATCAAGGATCACTATCATGCTTTCCCGTTATTATTTTGTCACCTCGCCCCCCAAAAGAGGAGAAAAAGGAAAGGACAAAAGACTCTCCACAGTGGATGTAACTACTCTGGTGGTTAGTTATAAGAAAATGGCTTTAGCCAGGTGTGGTGTTGCACACCTTTAATCCCATCCCTCAGGTGGAACTCTGTGAGTTGGAGGCCAGCCTGGTCTACCTAGTGAGTTTCAGAATATCCAGGTTATGTAGACCCTGTCTGAAAAAAAAAAAAAAACAAGAAAGACACACACACACACAGATGTCTTCAGGAGCATTTTCTGTGATCATTTTTCCCTTAATTTCGGATAATTTGAAAACGCAGTTAATTAACTCTTGTTTTTATATTCCTTATTTGCCCCAGCACTTACCTGTTTTGTTAGCTGTGTTGAAGCTGCTTGTTGCACATCAAGGCATGTGTTACAGGGTTGGGGATGCAGCTCAGTGATGGAATGCAGCCTTGCATTCCCTGGCCTCCTCCCCAAGTGAATCCATTCCGGATTATGGTAGTTTGCGGCAAGCATGGGAAACGATCTCCAGGCTCTAGAGTTAGCTTCTGTCAGTGGGGTGAATTCACATTATGTCGGCGACAGGTCTTTAACGTCTTGTTTTCTCGTAGTGGCTATCTTTGAAGTATCCTAAAATCGCCATCTATGTGGACACCTGGAAAGACTGCTATGAAGCTTTCGTCCTCTATAATTTTATGATGTTACTCAGGAACTACCTACAAATCCAAATCCCCAATGTGATGGTACACCTGGAAACTAAAGATCAGCAACAGCATCTCCCCCTTCTGTGCTGCTGTCCACCCTGGGCTACGGGAGAGTAAGTATGTTTGTCTTTAATGGGCCTCCGCGTGGGCCTTAAGTATCAGTCAGCTGTTTTTATTGCTTGTGGTTTTGTTTTCTTTTTATGTTGCAAGTGATCACTCCAGTAGAAAAGTTCATCAGTGAATTGTAGGAGAAAAACTTAGAAATCATTTAGTCAGCATCCTTTTTACAGCTGGAAATAGGATCTTGTCTGTGATTACACAGCTAATTTTCTCACTGCTGGGACAAAATGACTGACAAGAGCAACTAAGGAACAGAGTTTGTGGGGCCAGTCCATTGTGGTGGGAAGGCATGCGGCTGGAGCTCAGCTCACCACCTCCTCTGTGCAGTCCAGACCACAGCCTGGAGAATATGCTGCCACCCTCAGTTGCTCCCTTGTCCCAAGAAATCTTTCTGGGAACACACTCATACATATGCACAGGTACATATGCACAGTTGATCTGTGCCTCAGTTTCTCTCCTGGGGTGTGTGTGTTAGAGCTTTCATTGTCACTTCTAGCAAAAATTTCTGAGATAATCGGGTTTATTTGCACTGTTGATGAGATCATTGGGTCCTGTTGATTTGAGGTATATCATGGCAAGATTGGGAAACAAGGAAAGACCAAGGTCCCTGTACTTTCTACTCCTTCTGTTACACTCCTTGTGTCTTTAATTTGGAGGCTTTGAGATGCTCTGATGCCACTGAATAGTTGAGCTTTGGTGTTCTCTTCTCTTGCAGAATGCTGAATTATGTGTGCCGATTGGGAATGTTACAATATACTGTCATCCGACCAGTCACTACTGTGACAGCATTGTAAGTGTGACCTTTCTGGAGCTGGGTTTATTTTATCTTCTTGATATATGCCAGGGAATACAGCTCAGTTAATAAGAGTGTTTGCTTTGTATGCACAAAGCCTTAGATTTAATTCCACAGAAACCAAGTGTAGTGATACATGGCAAATAATCCTAGCACTTCAAGGTAGATTCGGGAGAATTGAGAGCTCAAGTTCAGACTGGGCCCTGTCTTAAAAAATAATTTATGTTCTTAAATGGGAAAAACAAGTAGAAAATCAATGTTGATTAATAATGTAAATCCCTATGTAAAAGCTGGATTCTGTTACAGTGAACAATGCAAGAATTGTCACAATATTTACATTCTTTTGAGAGCAGGCTGTAAAACACAAAAAATAAAATCTCCTTTGGGTTAACCAAACAGGTTTATTTTCTACCTTGTTAAGAGTTACTAGGAGTTGGGCGTGGTGGCACACACCTGTAATCCCAGCATTTGGGAGGCAGAGGCAGGAGAATCTCAGTGAATTCAAACCAGTCGGGTCTACAGCCAGGGCCACACAGAGAAACCCTGTCTCTAAAAAAAGTTTTATTAGGAGCACTGTCTTTTTTTTTTTCTTTTTTAAATTTATTTATTTATTAAGGATTTCTGCCTCGTCCCCACAACCGCTTCCCATTTCCCTCCCCCTCCCCCGATCAAGTCCCCCTCCCTCATCTGCTCAAAGAGCAATCAGGGTTCCCTGACCTGTGGGAAGCCCAAGGACTGCCCACCTCTATCCAGGTCTCCTAAGGTGAGCATTCAAACTGCCTAGGCTCCCACAAAGCCAGTACGTGCAGTAGGATCAAAAACCCACTGCAATTGTTCTTGAATTCTCAGGAGCACTGTCTTTTGTTACAAGGAGCAGGGACCCCTTGTTTGTCCCGGCCACCCGGCTAGCTTACACCTGAAATAACCACACAGAAACTATTAATGAAAACTGCTTGGCCATTAGCTGTAACTTCTTATTGGCTAACTCTTACATATTAGTTTAACCCACCTCCATTAATCTGTGTATCGCCACGTGGCAGTGGCTTACTAGAGATTCTAATCAGCGTCCATCTCAGGTGGAGGATCATGGCTTCTCTCTGTCTCTGGTTTCTTCCTCCCAGCATTTAGTTCTCTTTTCTCCACCTACCTAAGTTGTGCCCTATCAACTAGGCCAAGGCATTTTCTTTATTCATTAACCAATGAAAGCAACACACATTTCATTCCAGCACTGAGGAGACAGAGGATTGCAGCTCTCTGTGAGTTTGAGGCCAGCATGGTCTACATAGACCGAGTCTCAAACACAGACAAAAAGCATCTGATGTCAAATAAGAAACATAATAAAACTACCCAGGAAACGTTCCCTAAAAATATCCAAAGTGTCAATTTATATGATTCCTTGCATGAAATTCAAAGTTCTGCAGCTCACAAAATAAAGACAGCCACATTGAAACAAACCAGGTCAGTTCTTTATTCTACCTTCGAGCTGGAGTGCTTTATGGCTTAAGATGTGTTTGTTTGCTGCTGAGAAAATGGACAAGTGCAAAACCCAGTACTTAGGCTAATAATTACTTGGCGGGGGGGTCTAGGTCCGCAGATATGCATCTGCCAGGTTGTTTACAGGGAAAAGGTGAGCTGGGATCAATGTTTATCCATCACACTTTCCAAAATCAGGCCTTGTCTTCTGAAGTTAGTGATGATTCTCTAGTTTAATGATGCTGAGTTTGTCATTCCTTTAAGGTAGAAGGAATAATCATATCATACACATCTAGAAGAATGTTCTCTGTCTGTGACCAGAGTCAAGAGATGATCCATAGCGCTGCTGAAGTAAATGGTCTCGGAATTCTTAAGTGTGTGTTCAGGGCTGAGAGCACGCACTGGTTAAGAGCACCCTGAACTCCTGCATAGGACTCAGGTTCAGTAACATCTAGGGCCAGCGTGGCCAGCACCTTTTTCTGGCCTCCAAAGGCACTGCACACAGATTGTGCACAGGTCTGCATGCACTAGAATATTCATATACATAAAATAAGTCTCTAAAGGAGACATATTAAGATATGGGTTTGCTTGGTTAGTCATAACTTTGAGTTTTGCCATTTTTTAGGGTGTGTGAGATTATTGGTGTCTACAATGAAGGGAACTTAAGTGTCAACAATGCATGGACTTACCTGTTTATATTAAATAACTTGTCAGAATTCGTAAGTAAATCATCATTCCCCATAGCTGTACTAAGTTAGTTTCTGTGCTGAGTGTTATCAGGCACTTTTCTTGAGAGAAATACTACCTTTTCATTTGTACATGTTACTTGAAACAGTTTTAATGTATATAAAAGTACAGTAATGTGTTCATGAGTGATTTGGTGATGTTTCCCTGTCCGTGGACACCTGTTTGCCCTTGTTACCACATAGCTGTGGGTAAAAGCATTGTGTGCTTCTAAATGAGCAGAACATAACACAGTCAGCCTGTTCAGTTAGAGGGAAAGTCTAATTGATGCAAAAGGATAAAGTTTAAATAAAAATGGAAGGATTCACCAGGCGGTGGTGATACAGTCCTTTAATCTTAGCATAAAGGCAAATCTCTGAGTTTGAGACTAGCTGGGTCTACAGAGTGAGTTCCAGGACAGCCAGGGCTACACAAAGAAACCCTGTCTCAAAAAAAAAAAAAAAAAAAAGGGAAGAAGAAGAAAAGAAAAAGAAAGAACTCAATACTCAATTGTCTTTTCTGTATTTAGAATTAAAGGAAAATAAAGACTGAAGATTTTTTGGTTTTTGTTTGTTTTGATTTTTCTCTGTGTAACAGTCATGGCTGTCCTGGAACTTGCTTTGTAGACCAGGCTAGCCTGAAACTCACAGAGATCTGCCTTCCTCCACCTCCCAAGTGCTGGAATTAAAGGCATGCACCACCACTGCCTGCCAAGACTGAAGTTTAAAAAAAAATGGGTGCTGGAGTGTCTTTGGGTGGTGCTTCCCACAGTGTAGTAACTGAAATACAGTGGCCCACACACAGTGTTGGAAGTTTATAATGGTCCTGGGCATGGCAGCGCATGCCTTCAGTCCCAGAAGGTGGGAGGCAGGGGCAGGTGAATCCCAGTGTGAGGCCAGCGTGGTCTACAAAGTGAGTTCCAGGACAGCCAGTGCTACACAGAGAAACCCTGTCTCAAAACACCCAAAACAAACAAAACAATTTTTAATGGAAATAAATGTGGTGTGTCTCCAGAGATTTCCCTTGTGTTTGCCTTCATGACCCATAGTCCTTTTTCTGGAAATGTAGTCTAAAGAAAAGGTCAGAAGTGTTTTTGCCTTCCGGATGAAATACCCATGATAAGAAAGGACTGGAAACGCTCTTCATTGTGGGCATAGTTTGTTCTTCCCATTGGCATTTAGATAGATATTAAAAGTAAAATTTAAGAAAACCACACAAAAATTAGCTACTTTGAGTTGAAAACAATATTGGGGAACAAAATTTTATTTTAGTTCATGACAGATGTTAGAAAATTGGGTTGTGACTGGTGGAATATGGAGTGTTTGCCTAGCATACATAGCCCTGGGTATGATCCCAGCCTAACAGGGTAACAGTTCATATGTACAGAGAAATGGCTCGGTGCTGAGAGTCAGTTTGTTTTGGTTTCTGTTGTTGCTGTTGCTTTTGAGTTTTTGAGACAGGGTTTCTCCATAGTTTTGGAGCCTGTCATGAAATTTGGTCTGTAGACCAGGTTGGCCTCGAGCTCACCGAGGTCTGCCTGCCTCTGCCTCCTGAATGCTGGTATTAAAGGTGTGTGCCACCACCGTGAGGCCTTCAATTTCTTTTATTGTTTTTTTTTTTTAACAGTACTAGAGCTAGAACCCAGGGCCTGTGAGTGTAGAACATGCACCTTGCTGGGCCCTGACTCCACTGCAAGGATCTGAAGAAGGATCCTTACTGCTTTCCTGTCCTGGAGTAGTTTAAATGAGCATAAAGTGTCTTATCATTTTAATGGGGAAAGTAAGCTTTCAGAGATGCTTCTTGCTACTGAAGTCCTGGTTGGTTTTTAGAACTGACTCTGACGTCATGAACATGTATTCTAAGAAGTCAGGCCAGCTGGACTAACAGACTGCTCTCAAGGAAATTTGTATGATGTAGATTTCATGGTCACAATTTTATTGAAACTGTACTTATTTAATGTTTTGATTTATAAACCGTGTATGTATGTGTGTTGTGTAAATGTTACACAAGAGACTAGCTAATAATAATAATAATAATTGAGTTTTTATAAAAATTGACAGTAACTTGTGTTTAAAAGCTTAACAGGTATGTTTCCCATCTCTTTTGACTGAAAAAAATCTTCTGCTCATGTCATTTGTTTATTGCTTGAGTTACAGTATGTGAATACTTAGAAACACGTTCAGAAAAATTTTACATATGTCTTGAGAAATTTCATATGTATATCTCTACAGTAACATAGTAAAAGCACTAAAACATTGACTAATCAGCCTCAAGTTCCACCTGGAATGTTCCTGTAGAGCAGGCTCTGGTTTCAGCTTTAAGAGTCAGTCCCTGTCTTCCTACTGCAGAATGATGAATGTTGCTTTTGTTTCTAGTTTGCCTTGTACTGCCTCTGGCTGTTTTATGAAATGCTGAAAGAAGAGCTCAGAGGTCTAAAACCTGTTGGCAAGTTTATTTGCATCAAACTGGTAGTCTGGCTCTCATTCTTGTAAGTATTGCGTGCTCTTAAATATTCTTTCTTTCTTTATAAATGCCAATAAAACTGTTGTTTAAGGGAGTTTTTTAGAGTAATGTGAAGACAGTGCCAGACTCAGTGGTCCCAGCCCTTGGGAAACTGAGGGAGGACCACCCGTTCAAGGCCAGTCTGAACTAGGCAGACGTCCTTGGGCTGGAGAGAGAGAGGCTCAGCAGTTAGAGTTTGCACATATCCAGAGGACCAAAGTTTGTCCCCAGCAGCCATGTATGGCGACTCACAACCTCATGTCATCCTAGTTCAAAGGACCTGAAGCCCTCTTCTGACCTCTGTGACACATGCACATACTTGCACAGTCTCAGTCTCTCTCTCTCTCTCTCACACACACACACACACATACACATACACACACACACACTCACACACACAGACACACACACAGACACACTTGCGCGCACGCACAATACAATGTTTTTTAAACCCATCCGTTTAGCTTTTGTAAGATTTACAAAATCAGGGCTGCAAAAATGGCTCAGCAGATAAGAGCCCTTGTTATTCTTTTGGAGGATCTGGGTTGAGTTCCCAACACCAACAAAGTTAGTGGTCACAACCCTCTGCAGTTTCAGATCCAGGTGATTCTAATGCCCTCTTCTGGTATCTACAGATACTCTACTTGTATATACACATGCAGGCAAAACTCACACAAAACTAAATATTAAAAAATAGTTTTTAAAAGTATTTTTAAAACCCAATCTTAGTCCTGTGTGGTGGTATATACCTGTAGTCCCAACACTCAGGGTAAACCAAGAGAATCTCATTGCGTTTGATGACAGCCTGCTCTCTATAGCAAGTTGTAGATTAGCCTATGCCACCGTGTGTGATCTTGTATCTAAACAATCAAAGAAGTAGTCAGACGGCCACTATGACATTTAAAAGATGAAGATAATTTGAGATAGCCTAACTATCTTGATACCATCATTAAAATTATAGTTCTGCTGGGTGTGGTAGTGTACCCTTTAATCCCAGCACTCCCCGGGGAGTCAGAAGCAGGTGGTTCTCTATGAGTTGAAGGCTAGCAGGGTCTACATAGCAAGTGTGAGGCCAGTCAGAGGTACATAGTGTGACCCTGTCTCAAAATGAATAAAATAAACTGTTTAAAATTATGATTGTCATGAATAAAACAGTATCAGTTTAGGAGAAGACATTTAATGGCATGAGGAAATGTTTATCAGTGTGTGTCCTTTAAGATACAAGGTAGGGATGGAGATACAGTTGAGTGTCCGCATAGTGTAGACAAGGCCCTACTGTCTGTCCTTGGTGTCACAAAGCAAACAAACAAACCTAGACGTGGTGTTAGATTAGTAATAGGCTAGGTAATAAGAGTTACATAGACAAATCTATCCAGTTTAGCAGTTCAGTAACGGGAAAAGAGAAAAAACATTCATGGAATTGCACTGCCAGAGCAATGATTAGCATCTGAGGGCACACATCATGTGCAGTCTTCTACAGACGTAATTTATGCTAGAAAAACTTCTAGAACTCAACAGCATTCTAATTCAGATAACCCATAAGCTGGCAGGATAGCTCAGCAGGGAAAGGCCCTTGCTGTACACACCAAAGAATTGAGATTGATCCCCAGCACCCTTGTAAAAGCAGAAGTAGAGAACACAGCTGCCCTCAGAGACCCTGCCACACTCACTGATTATAAAGGGAGGGGGAATAAGACAGACTAGTAGAGCCGTGGCATGGGTCAGCAGGAAGAGAGGCTTGCCTTTGCCAAGCCTGACGAGGGGAGTTCCACCCAAGAGCCCACGGTAGAGGGAAAGAAATGGGACCAGCGGGTTGTCCTCCGATCTCACATACACAGACGAAAATAAATAGTCATTTTTTTGATCCTAGTAATTATCCAGGTGTGATGGCACGTGCCTTTAGTCTCAGCACTTGGGAGGCAGAGGTAGCCAGATCTCATGTTCAAGGCCAAGGCCAGGTTGGTCAACATAGCAAGTTCTAGAACAACCAGGGTTGCATAGAAAGACCCTGTATCTAAATAAATAAAATAATAAAATAAAGTCCTAGTAGGCACATGTAAACACACTGTTAGAACTCAGAATCTAATTATTTGTACCTGGTTTCAAATCAACAACAAAAAAGATATGTAAATCAAATTCTGAAGTTCTGAGAATACTTAATGAAATTCATCTTATAAAGCTGATACATTTGTAAGGCAAGGTGCATATAATTTAATGTAAACACTGTTTGGGAGTATGTCCTGAAGGCAGGATAGTTTGGAGTCCTAGGATACACTGAGGCCTTAACTGTTTGTGGTTGTGTAATTTAATCTTTTTGTGTATATGTTATGTATGTGTTTATTGTGAGTGGGAACATGCCCATGTCATGTGTGCATGTGGAGATGAGGAGCTTTGGGTGTCCTTGTCTTGCATTGAGGTGAGGGTCTCTTAATTGTTCACTGTACACACACAAGGCTTGCTGGCCTGCGGCTTCCCCAAACTGTGTTCCACCTCTCAGCTCCCCTCAGGAACGCTGGTTTACGTGTGTGTGCTACATGCCCGCCTTACCTGGGTTCTGTGCTTCTCACTTAGGACCTTCCTCACTCTTGTACAACAAGCACTTCGCCTACCGAGCCACCTCCCTAGCCCCTAATTGCATAAAACAGCTGGTCATTTTATGATTTAGATTTGACATTTACCTCTTCTTGACATCCAGGCAAGCAGCAATTATAACTGTGTTGCTAAAAGTTGGAATAATTTCAGAGACACTTACGAAGGAATGGCAAAGTCCTGAAGCTACGGCCATAGGCCTGCAAGTAAGTAGAACTGTCTCTAAACTCAGTGGGGTGTTACTGTTTAAGCTATTTAATGCAGTGATGCCCAGAACCTGCCAGTGTGCAAACAGTGGGCAAGACTGCTAGCTTACTCTGTAGTGAGAAGCGAGAACCCGAGAGAAACGGCCCATAGGGACTGATGGGTACTGATTGTATTCCTGGTCCGCTTATGTCTGCATGGTTCCTTTCAGCGCTTGGGTAATGCATTGAGAAATTCTTGAGTGAGGGAAAGCAAAAGAGATGCAAACTTTGCTTGTCATGTTATGAAGTGGGGAAAAATGTTGAAAAGGAATATAATCAGGATTCTGTTTCAAAATTATTGACACTCTAACTTGGAAAAGTTAGCAATTTGAAAAATTAGATCGAAGCCCAAAGATGTCTGATATTTGTGTGACTCTTGTAGGATTTCATCACCAGTGTTGAGATGCTTTTTGCGGCATTTGGAAACCATTATTTTTTTTCATATAAGCCTTATATAAAAGAAGGAGAGGAAGGCTCATGCTTTGACTCCTTCCTAGCAATGTTTGATGTGTCTGATGTCAAGCATAATATTACCGAGGATATGAGATATTTCGGTAAGTAACAGCTGTTTAACTTCTGTTAGTGTAAGTGTGTATATTGGGAAGCTAGGTTTGTGTGTTGTGCACATAGGGGCAGAGATGAAGCTCAGTTGTGGTCCCTCGGGATGTTCAGCTTGGGTTTTGGAACAGGGTCTCTCGCTGTCCTGGGGCTCACAGATTCAGCTAGGATGGCTGACCAGAGAGCCCCAGGGATCCTATCTCTGCCTTGCTAGCATGGGGACTACAAACATGCCCAGCTTTGTACCCGTGCTGAGGATCAAACTCAGGTCCTCATGCTTGTGTGGCATCCTGACCCAAATCCGTAAGATAAGGTCATTTACTCTAGTAATTTAAGAAATGAGAAAATATGGAAAGCAGTGCCATGATACAGGCTCTTCAGATTTGGGGAAGACAAAGGGGGGAAGGGAGTGGTTACAGAATTATGTTTACAGCAGTAAAAATAACTTTTGGCTATTAATTTTATATTGTCTTATAGGGAGAACTATGCGAGGTTGTCCCAAAAAAGATGTTGTCCTGAAAACCCAGAGCATACTGATCACACAAGTTGGCTTACCTCATCACCACACAATGAAGGTTCTCCAGGCTCAAAGACATCCTTTCCCCAGGGCGAGTATAGGGGCTTTGGACACGAATACTCCCCAGAATGCAGCTGTTGCATTCCATCTGGGTGAACATGTCAGGATTGACATCCCAGAAGAGAAGGGCCCTCCTGACGGTTCAGGCTAATATCTAGACATTAAAAAACAGCGTCTTCACAGGACATGCTCTGGGTCCGCAGATACACATCTGCCAGGTTGTTTACAGGGAAAAGGTGAGCTGGGATCAATGTTTATCCATCACACTTTCCAAAATCAGGCCTTGTCTTCTGAAGTTAGTGATGATTCTCTAGTTTAATGATGCTGAGTTTGTCATTCCTTTAAGGTAGAAGGAATAATCATATCATACACATCTAGAAGAATATTTCTCTTTCCGTGACCAGAGTCAAGAGATGATCCATAGCGCTGCTGAAGTAAATGGTCTCAGAATCTAAGTAGTTCTGCCATCATACCTTCCGTGTGTGTTCAGGGTTAAGAGCACCCCACACTCCTGCAGAAGACTCGGGTTCAGTAAAATCTAGGGCCAGCGTGGCCAGCACCCTTTTCTGGCCTCCAAAGGCACTGCACACAGATTGTGCACAGGTCTGCATGCACTAGAATATTCATATACATAAAATAAGTCTCTAAAGGAGACATATTAAGATATGGGTTTGCTTGGTTAGTCATAACTTTGAGTTTTGCCATTTTTTAGGGTATGTGAGGTTATTGGTGTCTACGATGAAGGGAACTTGAGTGTCTTCAACGCATGGACTTACTTATTTATATTAAATAACTTGTCAGAATTCGTAAGTAAATCATCATTCCCCATAGCTGTACTAAGTTAGTTTCTGTGCTGAGTGTTATCAGGTACTTTTCTTGAGAAAAATATTACCTTTTCATTTGTACATGTTACTTGAAACAGCTTTAATGTATATAAAAGTACAGTAATGTGTTCATGAGTGATTTGGTGATGTTTCCCTGTCCGTGGACACCTGTTTGCCCTTGTTACCACATAGCTGTGGGTAAAAGCATTGTGTGCTTCTAAATGAGCAGAACATAACACAGTCAGCCTGTTCAGTTAGAGGGAAAGTCTAATTGATGCAAAAGGATAAAGTTTAAATAAAAATGGAAGGATTCACCAGGCGGTGGTGATACAGTCCTTTAATCTTAGCATAAAGGCAAATCTCTGAGTTTGAGACTAGCTGGGTCTACAGAGTGAGTTCCAGGACAGCCAGGGCTACACAAAGAAACCCTGTCTCAAAAAAAAAAAAAAAAAGGGAAGAAGAAGAAAAGAAAAAGAAAGAACTCAATACTCAATTGTCTTTTCTGTATTTAGAATTAAAGGAAAATAAAGACTGAAGATTTTTTGGTTTTTGTTTGTTTTGATTTTTCTCTGTGTAACAGTCATGGCTGTCCTGGAACTTGCTTTGTAGACCAGGCTAGCCTGAAACTCACAGAGATCTGCCTTCCTCCACCTCCCAAGTGCTGGAATTAAAGGCATGCACCACCACTGCCCGCCAAGACTGAAGTTTAAAAAAAAATGGGTGCTGGAGTGTCTTTGGGTGGTGCTTCCCACAGTGTAGTAACTGAAATACAGTGGCCCACACACAGTGTTGGAAGTTTATAATGGTCCTGGGCATGGCAGCGCATGCCTTCAGTCCCAGAAGGTGGGAGGCAGGGGCAGGTGAATCCCAGTGTGAGGCCAGCGTGGTCTACAAAGTGAGTTCCAGGACAGCCAGTGCTACACAGAGAAACCCTGTCTCAAAACACCCAAAACAAACAAAACAATTTTTAATGGAAATAAATGTGGTGTGTCTCCAGAGATTTCCCTCGTGTTTGCCTTCATGACCCATAGTCCTTTTTCTGGAAATGTAGTCTAAAGAAAAGGTCAGAAGTGTTTTTGCCTTCCGGATGAAATACCCATGATAAGAAAGGACTGGAAACGCTCTTCATTGTGGGCATAGTTTGTTCTTCCCATTGGCATTTAGATAGATATTAAAAGTAAAATTTAAGAAAACCACACAAAAATTAGCTACTTTGAGTTGAAAACAATATTGGGGAACAAAATTTTATTTTAGTTCATGACAGATGTTAGAAAATTGGGTTGTGACTGGTGGAATATGGAGTGTTTGCCTAGCATACATAGCCCTGGGTATGATCCCAGCCTAAGAGGGTAACAGTTCATATGTACAGAGAAATGGCTCGGTGCTGAGAGTCAGTTTATTTTGGTTTCTGTTGTTGCTGTTGCTTTTGAGTTTTTGAGACAGGGTTTCTCCATAGTTTTGGAGCCTGTCATAAAATTTGGTCTGTAGACCAGGCTGGCCTCGAGCTCACCGAGGTCTGCCTGCCTCTGCCTCCTGAATGCTGGTATTAAAGGTGTGTGCCACCACCGTGAGGCCTTCAATTTCTTTTATTGTTTTTTTTTTTTTCCAGTACTAGAGCTAGAACTCAGGGCCTGTGAGTGTAGAACACGCACCTTGCTGGGCCCTGACTCCACTGCAAGGATCTGAAGAAGGATCCTTACTGCTTTCCTGCCCTGGAATAGTTTAAATGAGCATAAAGTGTCTTATCATTTTAATGGGGAAAGTACGCTTTCAGAGATGCTTCTTGCTGTTGAAGTCCTGGTTGGTTTTTAGAACTGACTCTAACTTCATGAACATGTATTCTAAAAAGTCAGGCCAGCTGGACTAACAGACTGCTCTCAAGGAAATTTGTATGATGTAGATTTCATGGTCACAATTTTATTGAAACTGTACTTACTTAATGTTTTGATTTATAAACCGTGTATGTATGTGTGTTGTGTAAATGTTACACAAGAGACTAGCTAATAATAATAATAATAATTGAGTTTTTATAAAAATTGACAGTAACTTGTGTTTAAAAGCTTAACAGGTATGTTTCCCATCTCTTTTGACTGAAAAAAATCTTCTGCTCATGTCATTTGTTTATTGCTTGAGTTACAGTATGTGAATACTTAGAAACACGTTCAGAAAAATTTTACATATGTCTTGAGAAATTTCATATGTATATCTCTACAGTAACATAGTAAAAGCACTAAAACATTGACTAATCAGCCTCAAGTTCCACCTGGAATGTTCCTGTAGAGCAGGCTCTGGTTTCAGCTTTAAGAGTCAGTCCCTGTCTTCCTACTGCAGAATGATGAATGTTGCTTTTGTTTCTAGTTTGCCTTGTACTGCCTCTGGCTGTTTTATGAAATGCTGAAAGAAGAGCTCAGAGGTCTAAAACCTGTTGGCAAGTTTATTTGCATCAAACTGGTAGTCTGGCTCTCATTCTTGTAAGTATTGCGTGCTCTTAAATATTCTTTCTTTCTTTATAAATGCCAATAAAACTGTTGTTTAAGGGAGTTTTTTAGAGTAATGTGAAGACAGTGCCAGACTCAGTGGTCCCAGCCCTTGGGAAACTGAGGGAGGACCACCCGTTCAAGGCCAGTCTGAACTAGGCAGACGTCCTTGGGCTGGAGAGAGAGAGGCTCAGCAGTTAGAGTTTGCACATATCCAGAGGACCAAAGTTTGTCCCCAGCAGCCATGTATGGCGACTCACAACCTCATGTCACCCTAGTTCAAAGGACCTGAAGCCCTCTTCTGACCTCTGTGACACATGCACATACTTGCACAGTCTCAGTCTCTCTCTCTCTCTCTCACACACACACACACACATACACATACACACACACACACTCACACACACAGACACACACACAGACACACTTGCGCGCACGCACAATACAATGTTTTTTAAACCCATCCGTTTAGCTTTTGTAAGATTTACAAAATCAGGGCTGCAAAAATGGCTCAGCAGATAAGAGCCCTTGTTATTCTTTTGGAGGATCTGGGTTGAGTTCCCAACACCAACAAAGTTAGTGGTCACAACCCTCTGCAGTTTCAGATCCAGGTGATTCTAATGCCCTCTTCTGGTATCTACAGATACTCTACTTGTATATACACATGCAGGCAAAACTCACACAAAACTAAATATTAAAAAATAGTTTTTAAAAGTATTTTTAAAACCCAATCTTAGTCCTGTGTGGTGGTATATACCTGTAGTCCCAACACTCAGGGTAAACCAAGAGAATCTCATTGCGTTTGATGACAGCCTGCTCTCTATAGCAAGTTGTAGATTAGCCTATGCCACCGTGTGTGATCTTGTATCTAAACAATCAAAGAAGTAGTCAGACGGCCACTATGACATTTAAAAGATGAAGATAATTTGAGATAGCCTAACTATCTTGATACCATCATTAAAATTATAGTTCTGCTGGGTGTGGTAGTGTACCCTTTAATCCCAGCACTCCCCGGGGAGTCAGAAGCAGGTGGTTCTCTATGAGTTGAAGGCTAGCAGGGTCTACATAGCAAGTGTGAGGCCAGTCAGAGGTACATAGTGTGACCCTGTCTCAAAATGAATAAAATAAACTGTTTAAAATTATGATTGTCATGAATAAAACAGTATCAGTTTAGGAGAAGACATTTAATGGCATGAGGAAATGTTTATCAGTGTGTGTCCTTTAAGATACAAGGTAGGGATGGAGATACAGTTGAGTGTCCGCATAGTGTAGACAAGGCCCTACTGTCTGTCCTTGGTGTCACAAAGCAAACAAACAAACCTAGACGTGGTGTTAGATTAGTAATAGGCTAGGTAATAAGAGTTACATAGACAAATCTATCCAGTTTAGCAGTTCAGTAACGGGAAAAGAGAAAAAACATTCATGGAATTGCACTGCCAGAGCAATGATTAGCATCTGAGGGCACACATCATGTGCAGTCTTCTACAGACGTAATTTATGCTAGAAAAACTTCTAGAACTCAACAGCATTCTAATTCAGATAACCCATAAGCTGGCAGGATAGCTCAGCAGGGAAAGGCCCTTGCTGTACACACCAAAGAATTGAGATTGATCCCCAGCACCCTTGTAAAAGCAGAAGTAGAGAACACAGCTGCCCTCAGAGACCCTGCCACACTCACTGATTATAAAGGGAGGGGGAATAAGACAGACTAGTAGAGCCGTGGCATGGGTCAGCAGGAAGAGAGGCTTGCCTTTGCCAAGCCTGACGAGGGGAGTTCCACCCAAGAGCCCACGGTAGAGGGAAAGAAATGGGACCAGCGGGTTGTCCTCCGATCTCACATACACAGACGAAAATAAATAGTCATTTTTTTGATCCTAGTAATTATCCAGGTGTGATGGCACGTGCCTTTAGTCTCAGCACTTGGGAGGCAGAGGTAGCCAGATCTCATGTTCAAGGCCAAGGCCAGGTTGGTCAACATAGCAAGTTCTAGAACAACCAGGGTTGCATAGAAAGACCCTGTATCTAAATAAATAAAATAATAAAATAAAGTCCTAGTAGGCACATGTAAACACACTGTTAGAACTCAGAATCTAATTATTTGTACCTGGTTTCAAATCAACAACAAAAAAGATATGTAAATCAAATTCTGAAGTTCTGAGAATACTTAATGAAATTCATCTTATAAAGCTGATACATTTGTAAGGCAAGGTGCATATAATTTAATGTAAACACTGTTTGGGAGTATGTCCTGAAGGCAGGATAGTTTGGAGTCCTAGGATACACTGAGGCCTTAACTGTTTGTGGTTGTGTAATTTAATCTTTTTGTGTATATGTTATGTATGTGTTTATTGTGAGTGGGAACATGCCCATGTCATGTGTGCATGTGGAGATGAGGAGCTTTGGGTGTCCTTGTCTTGCATTGAGGTGAGGGTCTCTTAATTGTTCACTGTACACACACAAGGCTTGCTGGCCTGCGGCTTCCCCAAACTGTGTTCCACCTCTCAGCTCCCCTCAGGAACGCTGGTTTACGTGTGTGTGCTACATGCCCGCCTTACCTGGGTTCTGTGCTTCTCACTTAGGACCTTCCTCACTCTTGTACAACAAGCACTTCGCCTACCGAGCCACCTCCCTAGCCCCTAATTGCATAAAACAGCTGGTCATTTTATGATTTAGATTTGACATTTACCTCTTCTTGACATCCAGGCAAGCAGCAATTATAACTGTGTTGCTAAAAGTTGGAATAATTTCAGAGACACTTACGAAGGAATGGCAAAGTCCTGAAGCTACGGCCATAGGCCTGCAAGTAAGTAGAACTGTCTCTAAACTCAGTGGGGTGTTACTGTTTAAGCTATTTAATGCAGTGATGCCCAGAACCTGCCAGTGTGCAAACAGTGGGCAAGACTGCTAGCTTACTCTGTAGTGAGAAGCGAGAACCCGAGAGAAACGGCCCATAGGGACTGATGGGTACTGATTGTATTCCTGGTCCGCTTATGTCTGCATGGTTCCTTTCAGCGCTTGGGTAATGCATTGAGAAATTCTTGAGTGAGGGAAAGCAAAAGAGATGCAAACTTTGCTTGTCATGTTATGAAGTGGGGAAAAATGTTGAAAAGGAATATAATCAGGATTCTGTTTCAAAATTATTGACACTCTAACTTGGAAAAGTTAGCAATTTGAAAAATTAGATCGAAGCCCAAAGATGTCTGATATTTGTGTGACTCTTGTAGGATTTCATCACCAGTGTTGAGATGCTTTTTGCGGCATTTGGAAACCATTATTTTTTTTCATATAAGCCTTATATAAAAGAAGGAGAGGAAGGCTCATGCTTTGACTCCTTCCTAGCAATGTTTGATGTGTCTGATGTCAAGCATAATATTACCGAGGATATGAGATATTTCGGTAAGTAACAGCTGTTTAACTTCTGTTAGTGTAAGTGTGTATATTGGGAAGCTAGGTTTGTGTGTTGTGCACATAGGGGCAGAGATGAAGCTCAGTTGTGGTCCCTCGGGATGTTCAGCTTGGGTTTTGGAACAGGGTCTCTCGCTGTCCTGGGGCTCACAGATTCAGCTAGGATGGCTGACCAGAGAGCCCCAGGGATCCTATCTCTGCCTTGCTAGCATGGGGACTACAAACATGCCCAGCTTTGTACCCGTGCTGAGGATCAAACTCAGGTCCTCATGCTTGTGTGGCATCCTGACCCAAATCCGTAAGATAAGGTCATTTACTCTAGTAATTTAAGAAATGAGAAAATATGGAAAGCAGTGCCATGATACAGGCTCTTCAGATTTGGGGAAGACAAAGGGGGGAAGGGAGTGGTTACAGAATTATGTTTACAGCAGTAAAAATAACTTTTGGCTATTAATTTTATATTGTCTTATAGGGAGAACTATGCGAGGTTGTCCCAAAAAAGATGTTGTCCTGAAAACCCAGAGCATACTGATCACACAAGTTGGCTTACCTCATCACCACACAATGAAGGTTCTCCAGGCTCAAAGACATCCTTTCCCCAGGGCGAGTATAGGGGCTTTGGACACGAATACTCCCCAGAATGCAGCTGTTGCATTCCATCTGGGTGAACATGTCAGGATTGACATCCCAGAAGAGAAGGGCCCTCCTGACGGTTCAGGCTAATATCTAGACATTAAAAAACAGCGTCTTCACAGGACATGCTCTGGGTCCGCAGATACACATCTGCCAGGTTGTTTACAGGGAAAAGGTGAGCTGGGATCAATGTTTATCCATCACACTTTCCAAAATCAGGCCTTGTCTTCTGAAGTTAGTGATGATTCTCTAGTTTAATGATGCTGAGTTTGTCATTCCTTTAAGGTAGAAGGAATAATCATATCATACACATCTAGAAGAATATTTCTCTTTCCGTGACCAGAGTCAAGAGATGATCCATAGCGCTGCTGAAGTAAATGGTCTCAGAATCTAAGTAGTTCTGCCATCATACCTTCCGTGTGTGTTCAGGGTTAAGAGCACCCCACACTCCTGCAGAAGACTCGGGTTCAGTAAAATCTAGGGCCAGCGTGGCCAGCACCCTTTTCTGGCCTCCAAAGGCACTGCACACAGATTGTGCACAGGTCTGCATGCACTAGAATATTCATATACATAAAATAAGTCTCTAAAGGAGACATATTAAGATATGGGTTTGCTTGGTTAGTCATAACTTTGAGTTTTGCCATTTTTTAGGGTATGTGAGGTTATTGGTGTCTACGATGAAGGGAACTTGAGTGTCTTCAACGCATGGACTTACTTATTTATATTAAATAACTTGTCAGAATTCGTAAGTAAATCATCATTCCCCATAGCTGTACTAAGTTAGTTTCTGTGCTGAGTGTTATCAGGTACTTTTCTTGAGAAAAATATTACCTTTTCATTTGTACATGTTACTTGAAACAGCTTTAATGTATATAAAAGTACAGTAATGTGTTCATGAGTGATTTGGTGATGTTTCCCTGTCCGTGGACACCTGTTTGCCCTTGTTACCACATAGCTGTGGGTAAAAGCATTATGTGCTTCTAAATGAGCAGAACATAACACAGTCAGCCTGTTCAGTTAGAGGGAAAGTCTAATTGATGCAAAAGGATAAAGTTTAAATAAAAATGGAAGGATTCACCAGGCGGTGGTGATACAGTCCTTTAATCTTAGCATAAAGGCAAATCTCTGAGTTTGAGACTAGCTGGGTCTACAGAGTGAGTTCCAGGACAGCCAGGGCTACACAAAGAAACCCTGTCTCAAAAAAAAAAAAAAAAAGGGAAGAAGAAGAAAAGAAAAAGAAAGAACTCAATACTCAATTGTCTTTTCTGTATTTAGAATTAAAGGAAAATAAAGACTGAAGATTTTTTGGTTTTTGTTTGTTTTGATTTTTCTCTGTGTAACAGTCATGGCTGTCCTGGAACTTGCTTTGTAGACCAGGCTAGCCTGAAACTCACAGAGATCTGCCTTCCTCCACCTCCCAAGTGCTGGAATTAAAGGCATGCACCACCACTGCCCGCCAAGACTGAAGTTTAAAAAAAAATGGGTGCTGGAGTGTCTTTGGGTGGTGCTTCCCACAGTGTAGTAACTGAAATACAGTGGCCCACACACAGTGTTGGAAGTTTATAATGGTCCTGGGCATGGCAGCGCATGCCTTCAGTCCCAGAAGGTGGGAGGCAGGGGCAGGTGAATCCCAGTGTGAGGCCAGCGTGGTCTACAAAGTGAGTTCCAGGACAGCCAGTGCTACACAGAGAAACCCTGTCTCAAAACACCCAAAACAAACAAAACAATTTTTAATGGAAATAAATGTGGTGTGTCTCCAGAGATTTCCCTCGTGTTTGCCTTCATGACCCATAGTCCTTTTTCTGGAAATGTAGTCTAAAGAAAAGGTCAGAAGTGTTTTTGCCTTCCGGATGAAATACCCATGATAAGAAAGGACTGGAAACGCTCTTCATTGTGGGCATAGTTTGTTCTTCCCATTGGCATTTAGATAGATATTAAAAGTAAAATTTAAGAAAACCACACAAAAATTAGCTACTTTGAGTTGAAAACAATATTGGGGAACAAAATTTTATTTTAGTTCATGACAGATGTTAGAAAATTGGGTTGTGACTGGTGGAATATGGAGTGTTTGCCTAGCATACATAGCCCTGGGTATGATCCCAGCCTAAGAGGGTAACAGTTCATATGTACAGAGAAATGGCTCGGTGCTGAGAGTCAGTTTATTTTGGTTTCTGTTGTTGCTGTTGCTTTTGAGTTTTTGAGACAGGGTTTCTCCATAGTTTTGGAGCCTGTCATAAAATTTGGTCTGTAGACCAGGCTGGCCTCGAGCTCACCGAGGTCTGCCTGCCTCTGCCTCCTGAATGCTGGTATTAAAGGTGTGTGCCACCACCGTGAGGCCTTCAATTTCTTTTATTGTTTTTTTTTTTTTCCAGTACTAGAGCTAGAACTCAGGGCCTGTGAGTGTAGAACACGCACCTTGCTGGGCCCTGACTCCACTGCAAGGATCTGAAGAAGGATCCTTACTGCTTTCCTGCCCTGGAATAGTTTAAATGAGCATAAAGTGTCTTATCATTTTAATGGGGAAAGTACGCTTTCAGAGATGCTTCTTGCTGTTGAAGTCCTGGTTGGTTTTTAGAACTGACTCTAACTTCATGAACATGTATTCTAAAAAGTCAGGCCAGCTGGACTAACAGACTGCTCTCAAGGAAATTTGTATGATGTAGATTTCATGGTCACAATTTTATTGAAACTGTACTTACTTAATGTTTTGATTTATAAACCGTGTATGTATGTGTGTTGTGTAAATGTTACACAAGAGACTAGCTAATAATAATAATAATAATTGAGTTTTTATAAAAATTGACAGTAACTTGTGTTTAAAAGCTTAACAGGTATGTTTCCCATCTCTTTTGACTGAAAAAAATCTTCTGCTCATGTCATTTGTTTATTGCTTGAGTTACAGTATGTGAATACTTAGAAACACGTTCAGAAAAATTTTACATATGTCTTGAGAAATTTCATATGTATATCTCTACAGTAACATAGTAAAAGCACTAAAACATTGACTAATCAGCCTCAAGTTCCACCTGGAATGTTCCTGTAGAGCAGGCTCTGGTTTCAGCTTTAAGAGTCAGTCCCTGTCTTCCTACTGCAGAATGATGAATGTTGCTTTTGTTTCTAGTTTGCCTTGTACTGCCTCTGGCTGTTTTATGAAATGCTGAAAGAAGAGCTCAGAGGTCTAAAACCTGTTGGCAAGTTTATTTGCATCAAACTGGTAGTCTGGCTCTCATTCTTGTAAGTATTGCGTGCTCTTAAATATTCTTTCTTTCTTTATAAATGCCAATAAAACTGTTGTTTAAGGGAGTTTTTTAGAGTAATGTGAAGACAGTGCCAGACTCAGTGGTCCCAGCCCTTGGGAAACTGAGGGAGGACCACCCGTTCAAGGCCAGTCTGAACTAGGCAGACGTCCTTGGGCTGGAGAGAGAGAGGCTCAGCAGTTAGAGTTTGCACATATCCAGAGGACCAAAGTTTGTCCCCAGCAGCCATGTATGGCGACTCACAACCTCATGTCACCCTAGTTCAAAGGACCTGAAGCCCTCTTCTGACCTCTGTGACACATGCACATACTTGCACAGTCTCAGTCTCTCTCTCTCTCTCTCACACACACACACACACATACACATACACACACACACACTCACACACACAGACACACACACAGACACACTTGCGCGCACGCACAATACAATGTTTTTTAAACCCATCCGTTTAGCTTTTGTAAGATTTACAAAATCAGGGCTGCAAAAATGGCTCAGCAGATAAGAGCCCTTGTTATTCTTTTGGAGGATCTGGGTTGAGTTCCCAACACCAACAAAGTTAGTGGTCACAACCCTCTGCAGTTTCAGATCCAGGTGATTCTAATGCCCTCTTCTGGTATCTACAGATACTCTACTTGTATATACACATGCAGGCAAAACTCACACAAAACTAAATATTAAAAAATAGTTTTTAAAAGTATTTTTAAAACCCAATCTTAGTCCTGTGTGGTGGTATATACCTGTAGTCCCAACACTCAGGGTAAACCAAGAGAATCTCATTGCGTTTGATGACAGCCTGCTCTCTATAGCAAGTTGTAGATTAGCCTATGCCACCGTGTGTGATCTTGTATCTAAACAATCAAAGAAGTAGTCAGACGGCCACTATGACATTTAAAAGATGAAGATAATTTGAGATAGCCTAACTATCTTGATACCATCATTAAAATTATAGTTCTGCTGGGTGTGGTAGTGTACCCTTTAATCCCAGCACTCCCCGGGGAGTCAGAAGCAGGTGGTTCTCTATGAGTTGAAGGCTAGCAGGGTCTACATAGCAAGTGTGAGGCCAGTCAGAGGTACATAGTGTGACCCTGTCTCAAAATGAATAAAATAAACTGTTTAAAATTATGATTGTCATGAATAAAACAGTATCAGTTTAGGAGAAGACATTTAATGGCATGAGGAAATGTTTATCAGTGTGTGTCCTTTAAGATACAAGGTAGGGATGGAGATACAGTTGAGTGTCCGCATAGTGTAGACAAGGCCCTACTGTCTGTCCTTGGTGTCACAAAGCAAGCAAACAAACCTAGACATGGTGTTAGATTAGTAATAGGCTAGGTAATAAGAGTTACATAGACAAATCTATCCAGTTTAGCAGTTCAGTAACGGGAAAAGAGAAAAAACATTCATGGAATTGCACTGCCAGAGCAATGATTAGCATCTGAGGGCACACATCATGTGCAGTCTTCTACAGACGTAATTTATGCTAGAAAAACTTCTAGAACTCAACAGCATTCTAATTCAGATAACCCATAAGCTGGCAGGATAGCTCAGCAGGGAAAGGCCCTTGCTGTACACACCAAAGAATTGAGATTGATCCCCAGCACCCTTGTAAAAGCAGAAGTAGAGAACACAGCTGCCCTCAGAGACCCTGCCACACTCACTGATTATAAAGGGAGGGGGAATAAGACAGACTAGTAGAGCCGTGGCATGGGTCAGCAGGAAGAGAGGCTTGCCTTTGCCAAGCCTGACGAGGGGAGTTCCACCCAAGAGCCCACGGTAGAGGGAAAGAAATGGGACCAGCGGGTTGTCCTCCGATCTCACATACACAGACGAAAATAAATAGTCATTTTTTTGATCCTAGTAATTATCCAGGTGTGATGGCACGTGCCTTTAGTCTCAGCACTTGGGAGGCAGAGGTAGCCAGATCTCATGTTCAAGGCCAAGGCCAGGTTGGTCAACATAGCAAGTTCTAGAACAACCAGGGTTGCATAGAAAGACCCTGTATCTAAATAAATAAAATAATAAAATAAAGTCCTAGTAGGCACATGTAAACACACTGTTAGAATTCAGAATCTAATTATTTGTACCTGGTTTCAAAACAACAACAAAAAAGATATGTAAATCAAATTCTGAAGTTCTGAGAATACTTAATGAAATTCATCTTATAAAGCTGATACATTTGTAAGGCAAGGTGCATATAATTTAATGTAAACACTGTTTGGGAGTATGTCCTGAAGGCAGGATAGTTTGGAGTCCTAGGATACACTGAGGCCTTAACTGTTTGTGGTTGTGTAATTTAATCTTTTTGTGTATATGTTATGTATGTGTTTATTGTGAGTGGGAACATGCCCATGTCATGTGTGCATGTGGAGATGAGGAGCTTTGGGTGTCCTTGTCTTGCATTGAGGTGAGGGTCTCTTAATTGTTCACTGTACACACACAAGGCTTGCTGGCCTGCGGCTTCCCCGAACTGTGTTCCACCTCTCAGCTCCCCTCAGGAACGCTGGTTTACGTGTGTGTGCTACATGCCCGCCTTACCTGGGTTCTGTGCTTCTCACTTAGGACCTTCCTCACTCTTGTACAACAAGCACTTCGCCTACCGAGCCACCTCCCTAGCCCCTAATTGCATAAAACAGCTGGTCATTTTATGATTTAGATTTGACATTTACCTCTTCTTGACATCCAGGCAAGCAGCAATTATAACTGTGTTGCTAAAAGTTGGAATAATTTCAGAGACACTTACGAAGGAATGGCAAAGTCCTGAAGCTACGGCCATAGGCCTGCAAGTAAGTAGAACTGTCTCTAAACTCAGTGGGGTGTTACTGTTTAAGCTATTTAATGCAGTGATGCCCAGAACCTGCCAATGTGCAAACAGTGGGCAAGACTGCTAGCTTACTCTGTAGTGAGAAGCGAGAACCCGAGAGAAACGGCCCATAGGGACTGATGGGTACTGATTGTATTCCTGGTCCGCTTATGTCTGCATGGTTCCTTTCAGCGCTTGGGTAATGCATTGAGAAATTCTTGAGTGAGGGAAAGCAAAAGAGATGCAAACTTTGCTTGTCATGTTATGAAGTGGGGAAAAATGTTGAAAAGGAATATAATCAGGATTCTGTTTCAAAATTATTGACACTCTAACTTGGAAAAGTTAGCAATTTGAAAAATTAGATCGAAGCCCAAAGATGTCTGATATTTGTGTGACTCTTGTAGGATTTCATCACCAGTGTTGAGATGCTTTTTGCGGCATTTGGAAACCATTATTTTTTTTCATATAAGCCTTATATAAAAGAAGGAGAGGAAGGCTCATGCTTTGACTCCTTCCTAGCAATGTTTGATGTGTCTGATGTCAAGCATAATATTACCGAGGATATGAGATATTTCGGTAAGTAACAGCTGTTTAACTTCTGTTAGTGTAAGTGTGTATATTGGGAAGCTAGGTTTGTGTGTTGTGCACATAGGGGCAGAGATGAAGCTCAGTTGTGGTCCCTCGGGATGTTCAGCTTGGGTTTTGGAACAGGGTCTCTCGCTGTCCTGGGGCTCACAGATTCAGCTAGGATGGCTGACCAGAGAGCCCCAGGGATCCTATCTCTGCCTTGCTAGCATGGGGACTACAAACATGCCCAGCTTTGTACCCGTGCTGAGGATCAAACTCAGGTCCTCATGCTTGTGTGGCATCCTGACCCAAATCCGTAAGATAAGGTCATTTACTCTAGTAATTTAAGAAATGAGAAAATATGGAAAGCAGTGCCATGATACAGGCTCTTCAGATTTGGGGAAGACAAAGGGGGGAAGGGAGTGGTTACAGAATTATGTTTACAGCAGTAAAAATAACTTTTGGCTATTAATTTTATATTGTCTTATAGGGAGAACTATGCGAGGTTGTCCCAAAAAAGATGTTGTCCTGAAAACCCAGAGCATACTGATCACACAAGTTGGCTTACCTCATCACCACACAATGAAGGTTCTCCAGGCTCAAAGACATCCTTTCCCCAGGGCGAGTATAGGGGCTTTGGACACGAATACTCCCCAGAATGCAGCTGTTGCATTCCATCTGGGTGAACATGTCAGGATTGACATCCCAGAAGAGAAGGGCCCTCCTGACGGTTCAGGCAAATATCCAGACATTAAAAAACAGCGTCTTCACAGGACATGCTCTGGGTCCGCAGATACACATCTGCCAGGTTGTTTACAGGGAAAAGGTGAGCTGGGATCAATGTTTATCCATCACACTTTCCAAAATCAGGCCTTGTCTTCTGAAGTTAGTGATGATTCTCTAGTTTAATGATGCTGAGTTTGTCATTCCTTTAAGGTAGAAGGAATAATCATATCATACACATCTAGAAGAATGTTTCTCTTTCCGTGACCAGAGTCAAGAGATGATCCATAGCGCTGCTGAAGTAAATGGTCTCAGAATCTAAGTAGTTCTGCCATCATACCTTCCGTGTGTGTTCAGGGTTAAGAGCACCCCACACTCCTGCAGAAGACTCGGGTTCAGTAAAATCTAGGGCCAGCGTGGCCAGCACCCTTTTCTGGCCTCCAAAGGCACTGCACACAGATTGTGCACAGGTCTGCATGCACTAGAATATTCATATACATAAAATAAGTCTCTAAAGGAGACATATTAAGATATGGGTTTGCTTGGTTAGTCATAACTTTGAGTTTTGCCATTTTTTAGGGTATGTGAGGTTATTGGTGTCTACGATGAAGGGAACTTGAGTGTCTTCAACGCATGGACTTACTTATTTATATTAAATAACTTGTCAGAATTCGTAAGTAAATCATCATTCCCCATAGCTGTACTAAGTTAGTTTCTGTGCTGAGTGTTATCAGGTACTTTTCTTGAGAAAAATATTACCTTTTCATTTGTACATGTTACTTGAAACAGCTTTAATGTATATAAAAGTACAGTAATGTGTTCATGAGTGATTTGGTGATGTTTCCCTGTCCGTGGACACCTGTTTGCCCTTGTTACCACCTAGCTGTGGGTAAAAGCATTGTGTGCTTCTAAATGAGCAGAACATAACACAGTCAGCCTGTTCAGTTAGAGGGAAAGTCTAATTGATGCAAAAGGATAAAGTTTAAATAAAAATGGAAGGATTCACCAGGCGGTGGTGATACAGTCCTTTAATCTTAGCATAAAGGCAAATCTCTGAGTTTGAGACTAGCTGGGTCTACAGAGTGAGTTCCAGGACAGCCAGGGCTACACAAAGAAACCCTGTCTCAAAAAAAAAAAAAAAGGGAAGAAGAAGAAAAGAAAAAGAAAGAACTCAATACTCAATTGTCTTTTCTGTATTTAGAATTAAAGGAAAATAAAGACTGAAGATTTTTTGGTTTTTGTTTGTTTTGATTTTTCTCTGTGTAACAGTCATGGCTGTCCTGGAACTTGCTTTGTAGACCAGGCTAGCCTGAAACTCACAGAGATCTGCCTTCCTCCACCTCCCAAGTGCTGGAATTAAAGGCATGCACCACCACTGCCCGCCAAGACTGAAGTTTAAAAAAAAATGGGTGCTGGAGTGTCTTTGGGTGGTGCTTCCCACAGTGTAGTAACTGAAATACAGTGGCCCACACACAGTGTTGGAAGTTTATAATGGTCCTGGGCATGGCAGCGCATGCCTTCAGTCCCAGAAGGTGGGAGGCAGGGGCAGGTGAATCCCAGTGTGAGGCCAGCGTGGTCTACAAAGTGAGTTCCAGGACAGCCAGTGCTACACAGAGAAACCCTGTCTCAAAACACCCAAAACAAACAAAACAATTTTTAATGGAAATAAATGTGGTGTGTCTCCAGAGATTTCCCTCGTGTTTGCCTTCATGACCCATAGTCCTTTTTCTGGAAATGTAGTCTAAAGAAAAGGTCAGAAGTGTTTTTGCCTTCCGGATGAAATACCCATGATAAGAAAGGACTGGAAACGCTCTTCATTGTGGGCATAGTTTGTTCTTCCCATTGGCATTTAGATAGATATTAAAAGTAAAATTTAAGAAAACCACACAAAAATTAGCTACTTTGAGTTGAAAACAATATTGGGGAACAAAATTTTATTTTAGTTCATGACAGATGTTAGAAAATTGGGTTGTGACTGGTGGAATATGGAGTGTTTGCCTAGCATACATAGCCCTGGGTATGATCCCAGCCTAAGAGGGTAACAGTTCATATGTACAGAGAAATGGCTCGGTGCTGAGAGTCAGTTTATTTTGGTTTCTGTTGTTGCTGTTGCTTTTGAGTTTTTGAGACAGGGTTTCTCCATAGTTTTGGAGCCTGTCATAAAATTTGGTCTGTAGACCAGGCTGGCCTCGAGCTCACCGAGGTCTGCCTGCCTCTGCCTCCTGAATGCTGGTATTAAAGGTGTGTGCCACCACCGTGAGGCCTTCAATTTCTTTTATTGTTTTTTTTTTTTTCCAGTACTAGAGCTAGAACTCAGGGCCTGTGAGTGTAGAACACGCACCTTGCTGGGCCCTGACTCCACTGCAAGGATCTGAAGAAGGATCCTTACTGCTTTCCTGCCCTGGAGTAGTTTAAATGAGCATAAAGTGTCTTATCATTTTAATGGGGAAAGTAAGCTTTCAGAGATGCTTCTTGCTGTTGAAGTCCTGGTTGGTTTTTAGAACTGACTCTGACGTCATGAACATGTATTCTAAAAAGTCAGGCCAGCTGGACTAACAGACTGCTCTCAAGGAAATTTGTATGATGTAGATTTCATGGTCACAATTTTATTGAAACTGTACTTATTTAATGTTTTGATTTATAAACCGTGTATGTATGTGTGTTGTGTAAATGTTACACAAGAGACTAGCTAATAATAATAATAATAATTGAGTTTTTATAAAAATTGACAGTAACTTGTGTTTAAAAGCTTAACAGGTATGTTTCCCATCTCTTTTGACTGAAAAAAATCTTCTGTTCATGTCATTTGTTTATTGCTTGAGTTACAGTATGTGAATACTTAGAAACACGTTCAGAAAAATTTTACATATGTCTTGAGAAATTTCATATGTATATCTCTACAGTAACATAGTAAAAGCACTAAAACATTGACTAATCAGCCTCAAGTTCCACCTGGAATGTTCCTGTAGAGCAGGCTCTGGTTTCAGCTTTAAGAGTCAGTCCCTGTCTTCCTACTGCAGAATGATGAATGTTGCTTTTGTTTCTAGTTTGCCTTGTACTGCCTCTGGCTGTTTTATGAAATGCTGAAAGAAGAGCTCAGAGGTCTAAAACCTGTTGGCAAGTTTATTTGCATCAAACTGGTAGTCTGGCTCTCATTCTTGTAAGTATTGCGTGCTCTTAAATATTCTTTCTTTCTTTATAAATGCCAATAAAACTGTTGTTTAAGGGAGTTTTTTAGAGTAATGTGAAGACAGTGCCAGACTCAGTGGTCCCAGCCCTTGGGAAACTGAGGGAGGACCACCCGTTCAAGGCCAGTCTGAACTAGGCAGACGTCCTTGGGCTGGGGAGAGAGAGGCTCAGCAGTTAGAGTTTGCACATATCCAGAGGACCAAAGTTTGTCCCCAGCAGCCATGTATGGTGACTCACAACCTCATGTCACCCTAGTTCAAAGGACCTGAAGCCCTCTTCTGACCTCTGTGACACATGCACATACTTGCACAGTCTCAGTCTCTCTCTCTCTCTCACAAACACACACACATACACATACACACACACACACTCACACACACAGACACACACACAGACACACTTGCGCGCACGCACAATACAATGTTTTTTAAACCCATCCGTTTAGCTTTTGTAAGATTTACAAAATCAGGGCTGCAAAAATGGCTCAGCAGATAAGAGCCCTTGTTATTCTTTTGGAGGATCTGGGTTGAGTTCCAACACCAACAAAGTTAGTGGTCACAACCCTCTGCAGTTTCAGATCCAGGTGATTCTAATGCCCTCTTCTGGTATCTACAGATACTCTACTTGTATATACACATGCAGGCAAAACTCACACAAAACTAAATATTAAAAAATAGTTTTTAAAAGTATTTTTAAAACCCAATCTTAGTCCTGTGTGGTGGTATATACCTGTAGTCCCAACACTCAGGGTAAACCAAGAGAATCTCATTGCGTTTGATGACAGCCTGCTCTCTATAGCAAGTTGTAGATTAGCCTATGCCACCGTGTGTGATCTTGTATCTAAACAATCAAAGAAGTAGTCAGACGGCCACTATGACATTTAAAAGATGAAGATAATTTGAGATAGCCTAACTATCTTGATACCATCATTAAAATTATAGTTCTGCTGGGTGTGGTAGTGTACCCTTTAATCCCAGCACTCCCCGGGGAGGCAGAAGCAGGTGGTTCTCTATGAGTTGAAGGCTAGCAGGGTCTACATAGCAAGTGTGAGGCCAGTCAGAGGTACATAGTGTGACCCTGTCTCAAAATGAATAAAATAAACTGTTTAAAATTATGATTGTCATGAATAAAACAGTATCAGTTTAGGAGAAGACATTTAATGGCATGAGGAAATGTTTATCAGTGTGTGTCCTTTAAGATACAAGGTAGGGATGGAGATACAGTTGAGTGTCCGCATAGTGTAGACAAGGCCCTACTGTCTGTCCTTGGTGTCACAAAGCAAACAAACAAACCTAGACGTGGTGTTAGATTAGTAATAGGCTAGGTAATAAGAGTTATATAGACAAATCTATCCAGTTTAGCAGTTCAGTAACGGGAAAAGAGAAAAAACATTCATGGAATTGCACTGCCAGAGCAATGATTAGCATCTGAGGGCACACATCATGTGCAGTCTTCTACAGACGTAATTTATGCTAGAAAAACTTCTAGAACTCAACAGTATTCTAATTCAGATAACCCATAAGCTGGCAGGATAGCTCAGCAGGGAAAGGCCCTTGCTGTACACACCAAAGAATTGAGATTGATCCCCAGCACCCTTGTAAAAGCAGAAGTAGAGAACACAGCTGCCCTCAGAGACCCTGCCACACTCACTGATTATAAAGGGAGGGGGAATAAGACAGACTAGTAGAGCCGTGGCATGGGTCAGCAGGAAGAGAGGCTTGCCTTTGCCAAGCCTGACGAGGGGAGTTCCACCCAAGAGCCCACGGTAGAGGGAAAGAAATGGGACCAGCGGGTTGTCCTCTGATCTCACATACACAGACGAAAATAAATAGTCATTTTTTTGATCCTAGTAATTATCCAGGTGTGATGGCACGTGCCTTTAGTCTCAGCACTTGGGAGGCAGAGGTAGCCAGATCTCATGTTCAAGGCCAAGGCCAGGTTGGTCAACATAGCAAGTTCTAGAACAACCAGGGTTGCATAGAAAGACCCTGTATCTAAATAAATAAAATAATAAAATAAAGTCCTAGTAGGCACATGTAAACACACTGTTAGAATTCAGAATCTAATTATTTGTACCTGGTTTCAAAACAACAACAAAAAAGATATGTAAATCAAATTCTGAAGTTCTGAGAACACTTAATGAAATTCATCTTATAAAGCTGATACATTTGTAAGGCAAGGTGCATATAATTTAATGTAAACACTGTTTGGGAGTATGTCCTGAAGGCAGGATAGTTTGGAGTCCTAGGATACACTGAGGCCTTAACTGTTTGTGGTTGTGTAATTTAATCTTTTTGTGTATATGTTATGTATGTGTTTATTGTGAGTGGGAACATGCCCATGTCATGTGTGCATGTGGAGATGAGGAGCTTTGGGTGTCCTTGTCTTGCATTGAGGTGAGGGTCTCTTAATTGTTCACTGTACACACACAAGGCTTGCTGGCCTGCGGCTTCCCCGAACTGTGTTCCACCTCTCAGCTCCCCTCAGGAACGCTGGTTTACGTGTGTGTGCTACATGCCCGCCTTACCTGGGTTCTGTGCTTCTCACTTAGGACCTTCCTCACTCTTGTACAACAAGCACTTCGCCTACCGAGCCACCTCCCTAGCCCCTAATTGCATAAAACAGCTGGTCATTTTATGATTTAGATTTGACATTTACCTCTTCTTGACATCCAGGCAAGCAGCAATTATAACTGTGTTGCTAAAAGTTGGAATAATTTCAGAGACACTTACGAAGGAATGGCAAAGTCCTGAAGCTACGGCCATAGGCCTGCAAGTAAGTAGAACTGTCTCTAAACTCAGTGGGGTGTTACTGTTTAAGCTATTTAATGCAGTGATGCCCAGAACCTGCCAATGTGCAAACAGTGGGCAAGACTGCTAGCTTACTCTGTAGTGAGAAGCGAGAACCCGAGAGAAACGGCCCATAGGGACTGATGGGTACTGATTGTATTCCTGGTCCGCTTATGTCTGCATGGTTCCTTTCAGTGCTTGGGTAATGCATTGAGAAATTCTTGAGTGAGGGAAAGCAAAAGAGATGCAAACTTTGCTTGTCATGTTATGAAGTGGGGAAAAATGTTGAAAAGGAATATAATCAGGATTCTGTTTCAAAATTATTGACACTCTAACTTGGAAAAGTTAGCAATTTGAAAAATTAGATCGAAGCCCAAAGATGTCTGATATTTGTGTGACTCTTGTAGGATTTCATCACCAGTGTTGAGATGCTTTTTGCGGCATTTGGAAACCATTATTTTTTTTCATATAAGCCTTATATAAAAGAAGGAGAGGAAGGCTCATGCTTTGACTCCTTCCTAGCAATGTTTGATGTGTCTGATGTCAAGCATAATATTACCGAGGAAATGAGATATTTCGGTAAGTAACAGCTGTTTAACTTCTGTTAGTGTAAGTGTGTATATTGGGAAGCTAGGTTTGTGTGTTGTGCACATAGGGGCAGAGATGAAGCTCAGTTGTGGTCCCTCGGGATGTTCAGCTTGGGTTTTGGAACAGGGTCTCTCGCTGTCCTGGGGCTCACAGATTCAGCTAGGATGGCTGACCAGAGAGCCCCAGGGATCCTATCTCTGCCTTGCTAGCATGGGGACTACAAACATGCCCAGCTTTGTACCCGTGCTGAGGATCAAACTCAGGTCCTCATGCTTGTGTGGCATCCTGACCCAAATCCGTAAGATAAGGTCATTTACTCTAGTAATTTAAGAAATGAGAAAATATGGAAAGCAGTGCCATGATACAGGCTCTTCAGATTTGGGGAAGACAAAGGGGGGAAGGGAGTGGTTACAGAATTATGTTTACAGCAGTAAAAATAACTTTTGGCTATTAATTTTATATTGTCTTATAGGGAGAACTATGCGAGGTTGTCCCAAAAAAGATGTTGTCCTGAAAACCCAGAGCATACTGATCACACAAGTTGGCTTACCTCATCACCACACAATGAAGGTTCTCCAGGCTCAAAGACATCCTTTCCCCAGGGCGAGTATAGGGGCTTTGGACACGAATACTCCCCAGAATGCAGCTGTTGCATTCCATCTGGGTGAACATGTCAGGATTGACATCCCAGAAGAGAAGGGCCCTCCTGACGGTTCAGGCAAATATCCAGACATTAAAAAACAGCGTCTTCACAGGACATGCTCTGGGTCCGCAGATACACATCTGCCAGGTTGTTTACAGGGAAAAGGTGAGCTGGGATCAATGTTTATCCATCACACTTTCCAAAATCAGGCCTTGTCTTCTGAAGTTAGTGATGATTCTCTAGTTTAATGATGCTGAGTTTGTCATTCCTTTAAGGTAGAAGGAATAATCATATCATACACATCTAGAAGAATGTTTCTCTTTCCGTGACCAGAGTCAAGAGATGATCCATAGCGCTGCTGAAGTAAATGGTCTCAGAATCTAAGTAGTTCTGCCATCATACCTTCCGTGTGTGTTCAGGGTTAAGAGCACCCCACACTCCTGCAGAAGACTCGGGTTCAGTAAAATCTAGGGCCAGCGTGGCCAGCACCCTTTTCTGGCCTCCAAAGGCACTGCACACAGATTGTGCACAGGTCTGCATGCACTAGAATATTCATATACATAAAATAAGTCTCTAAAGGAGACATATTAAGATATGGGTTTGCTTGGTTAGTCATAACTTTGAGTTTTGCCATTTTTTAGGGTATGTGAGGTTATTGGTGTCTACGATGAAGGGAACTTGAGTGTCTTCAACGCATGGACTTACTTATTTATATTAAATAACTTGTCAGAATTCGTAAGTAAATCATCATTCCCCATAGCTGTACTAAGTTAGTTTCTGTGCTGAGTGTTATCAGGTACTTTTCTTGAGAAAAATATTACCTTTTCATTTGTACATGTTACTTGAAACAGCTTTAATGTATATAAAAGTACAGTAATGTGTTCATGAGTGATTTGGTGATGTTTCCCTGTCCGTGGACACCTGTTTGCCCTTGTTACCACCTAGCTGTGGGTAAAAGCATTGTGTGCTTCTAAATGAGCAGAACATAACACAGTCAGCCTGTTCAGTTAGAGGGAAAGTCTAATTGATGCAAAAGGATAAAGTTTAAATAAAAATGGAAGGATTCACCAGGCGGTGGTGATACAGTCCTTTAATCTTAGCATAAAGGCAAATCTCTGAGTTTGAGACTAGCTGGGTCTACAGAGTGAGTTCCAGGACAGCCAGGGCTACACAAAGAAACCCTGTCTCAAAAAAAAAAAAAAAAAGGAAGAAGAAAAAAGAAAAAGAAAGAACTCAATACTCAATTGTCTTTTCTGTATTTAGAATTAAAGGAAAATAAAGGCCTCCCTGCTGAGTTACTACAGTGGCCTCATGAACTCCGTGGGTGTGGTCACACTCCTTGTCTGGCTCTTTGAGGTGAGCATTACTGCCGGACTCAGCTACCTGCACATGGCGCTGGAAAGTGTGTCCAACCCCGAGGACCCCGAGTGCGAGAGTGAAGGCTGGCTGCTGGAGAAAAGTGTGCCTGAGACCTGGAATGCCTTTTTGGAGAGCTTTAAGAAGCTGGGCAAGAGCAATCAGGTGGAGGTCGAAGGCGCAGAGGCAGGCCAGGCCCCTGAGGCTGGCTGATGGCTTGGGATCTCTCCCCTCCTCAACACTTATTGGACTCCAGAAAATGTGGATACCCCCTTGTCCAGCTGAAAGCCCGAATTTCCCAAGAAAGCCGGGTACCTACTGACTCTCCTTGACAGTGGGCTTTGAAGCTCAGGGTCCTTAGGGCATGCGACAAACATTTGTGAAATGACTGCGTTTACATGTGTGTGAGTGAACCCTTCACCATAGACGTGCAGTCTCACGGGCCGGCCGGCCCAGGATTCATCTCCGCCCTGTGAATCCAGCTCTCCCACAGGTGACTGGCCACACCAAGGCCCCTGCCCTGGTAATGCCGGCCTCTTCTCAGTTCCAAGTTCTGCATCCGAATCATCAATCACTTGATACATAAACACAAGGGTGAAAAAAAAAGACTGGAGAAATGGCTCAGTGGTTAAGAGTGTTATCAGTGTTCTTCCAAAGGTCCTGAGTTCAATTCCCAGCAACCACATTGTGGCTTACAACCATCTGTAAAGAGGTCTGGCGCCCTCTTCTGGCCTTCAGGCATACCGACAGAATATTGTATACATAATAAAATAAATAAATAAATATTTTTAAAAAAAAGGAAAATTAAGACTGAAGATTTTTTTGGTTTTTGTTTGTTTTGATTTTTCTCTGTGTAACAGTCATGGCTGTCCTGGAACTTGCTTTGTAGACCAGGCTAGCCTGAAACTCACAGAGATCTGCCTTCCTCCACCTCCCAAGTGCTGGAATTAAAGGCATGCACCACCACTGCCCGCCAAGACTGAAGTTTAAAAAAAAATGGGTGCTGGAGTGTCTTTGGGTGGTGCTTCCCACAGTGTAGTAACTGAAATACAGTGGCCCACACACAGTGTTGGAAGTTTATAATGGTCCTGGGCATGGCAGCGCATGCCTTCAGTCCCAGAAGGTGGGAGGCAGGGGCAGGTGAATCCCAGTGTGAGGCCAGCGTGGTCTACAAAGTGAGTTCCAGGACAGCCAGTGCTACACAGAGAAACCCTGTCTCAAAACACCCAAAACAAACAAAACAATTTTTAATGGAAATAAATGTGGTGTGTCTCCAGAGATTTCCCTCGTGTTTGCCTTCATGACCCATAGTCCTTTTTCTGGAAATGTAGTCTAAAGAAAAGGTCAGAAGTGTTTTTGCCTTCCGGATGAAATACCCATGATAAGAAAGGACTGGAAACGCTCTTCATTGTGGGCATAGTTTGTTCTTCCCATTGGCATTTAGATAGATATTAAAAGTAAAATTTAAGAAAACCACACAAAAATTAGCTACTTTGAGTTGAAAACAATATTGGGGAACAAAATTTTATTTTAGTTCATGACAGATGTTAGAAAATTGGGTTGTCACCAGGCGGCCCTGTTTAGGTACTGAGGAGTTCCATCTGGACGGGTGAGTGTGTGCTTTCCAGGGGCGGACTGTCCCGGAAGAGATCACAGGCCCCCCTCCCCCAGCTCCTTCTGCAGGGCTGTCTTTCTTACACCCGACCCCCCCTCCCCCAAGAGCCTGCGTTATCTGCTAGGTCCTCTGCTCAGGAACAGTTTTCTGCTCCTACACTAAGGCTACCCACCCAGAGAGGTGAGTGCCTGCCTACTGGGCAGGCCTCAAGGACCCCCCGCCCCCCGAAAGGGAGCACGCGCACCTTCAGCTTTTGCAGCAGGGTGTCCTGTGTTCTACTCGTCCCCTCCCTGCCCCCCAAGTTCTCCCTTTTGTCCGTGGGTCATTGGACTACCAAGAGTCTATGTTTCGGTGCTGAGAAGTTCCATCTGAACTGGACGGTTCCTGCTTCTACACTGAAGAGTTACAACCAGAGAGTCAGTCACAGCAAAGACTGGACCAAGACACCAGGCCTCTCCTGGCTCCATTTGAAGGAAGAGATGGGAAGGCACCAAGGCAAGAATTCCTCCAACAACCTGAAAGGCAACATGACATCACCAGAATCCAGAGATCCCAAAATAAGAAGAATTGTACACCCTACTCTAGAAGAATTAGAAGAAATCGACTCAAAAGTGAATTATATGAAAATAATAGAAGACCTTAAACAGGAGGTGAAAAACTGCCATAAACAATTAGAGATCACAAACAAAAAGGTAGAGGAAATGAATAAAGCGCTCAAAGATACCCAAGAAAACCAAGAGAAACAAAAAAAAAGCAATCAAACAGGTAAGGGAAGTGGTTCAAGACATGAAGAATGACATGGAAGTAATGAAGAAAACGCAAACCGAGGGAAGGATAGAGATGGAAAATCTGTGTAAATGAACAGGAAATACAGAGACAAGTATTACCAACAGATTACAAGAGATAGAAGAAAGAATTTCAGGGGCTGGAGAGATGGCTCAGTGGTTAAGAGCACTGGCTGCTCTTCCAGAGGTTCTGAGTTTAATTCCCAGCAACCACATGGTGGCTCACAACCATCTGTAATGAGATATGGCGCCCTCTTCTGGCATGCAGGTATACATGGAGGCAGAATGTTGTATACATAATAAATAAATCTTTAAAAAAAAAGAAGAAAGAATTTCAGACACTGAAGATACCATAGAGAAAATAAACACACTGATCAAAGAAAACAGCAAAGCCAACAAATTCTCATCACAAAACTCAGGAAATCTGGGACACAATAAAAGGACCAAACCTAAGAATAATTGGGATAGAAGAAGGAGAAGAAGTACAGCTCAACGGTCCAGAAAATATATTTAATAAAATTATAGAAGAAAACTTTCCCAACCTAAAGAAAGATATTCCTTTGAAGGTTCAAGAAGCATAAAGAACACTGAATAGACTGGACCAAAAAAAAAAAAAAAAAACATCTCCTCGCCATATAATAATCAAAACACAAAACATACAGAATAAAGAAAGAATATTAAGAGCTGCAAAGGAAAAAAGCCAATTTACTTATAAAGGTAAATCTATCAGACTTACACCTGATTTCTCTATGGAAACAATGAAAGCCAGAAGGTTCTGGATAGATGTACTGCAGAAACTAAGAGACCATGGATGCAAGCCCAGACTACTATACCCAGCCAAGCTTTCGTTCACTATAAATGGAGAAAACTAAATTTTCCAGGATAAAAACAAATTTAAACAATACGTAGCCACAAATCCAGCCTTACAGAAAGTAATAGAAGGAAAATCACAAACCAAGGAGTCCAACAATGACCACAATAACTCAAACATCTAGAGACCCTTCACCAGCACAACTCAAAGAAAGGAAACACACAAACTACTACGAAAAAGGTGACCGGAATTAATACCACTGGTCATTAATATCACTTAATGTCAATGGACCCAACTCACCTATAAAAAGGCACAGGCTAAGAGATTGGATGCGAAAACAGGATCCAACATTCTGCCGTTTACAAGAAACACACCTTAATCACAAAGACAGGCACCTACTCAGAGTAAAGGGATGGGAAAAGGCTTATCAAGCAAATGGACCTAAGAAACAAGCAGGTGTGGCCATACTAATTTCTAACAAAGTTGACTTCAAACTCAAATCAATCAGAAGAGATGGAGAGGGACATTTTATACTCATAACAGGAACAATTAATCAGGATGAAGTCTCAATCCTGAATATCTATGCCCCTAATATAAAAGCACCCACGTACGTAAAAGAAACATTACTAAAACTCAAGGCTGCCATCAAACCGCACACACTAATAGTAGGAGACTTCAACACTCCTTTCTCACCAATGGACAGGTCAATCAGACAGAAACCTAACAGAGAAATTAGAGAATTAATGGAGGTAATGAATCAAATGGACTTAACAGACATCTATAGAACATTCCACCCAAATAGGAAAGAATATACGTTCTTCTCTGCAGCTCATGGAACCTTCTCGAAAATTGACCACATACTGGGTAACAAAGGAAACTTCCACAGTTACAAAAAAATATTCATAACCTCCTGTGTCTTATCAGATCACCATGGATTAAAGTTAGAATTCAACAACAATGCTACCCCCTGAAAGCCTACAAACTCATGGAAACTGAACAGTCAACTACTGAACCACACCTGGATCAAGGAAGAAATAAAGAAAGAAATTAAAGTCTTCCTCGAATTCAATGAAAATAAAGAAACAACCTACTGAAACTTATGGGACACTATGAAA